TAAGAGAAGTCAAAGATCATGGTTGGTTTTAAGTAAAAGAATAAGCAGAAAATGAATTGGCATTACAACCACACATGCCATAATAAGATTTTGTATTTGAACCACCTTTACCCAATACTGAACCAATTAGACCATCTTTACTTACTTAATTATCTAAAGATTGTTGGTTTAGTAAATATAAAGATATGGATTTATTAGCTAATATTATGGCATATATTGTTTAATCATTAATGGTGGAGTAAAAATGGAATAGTTTAATAGGAATATCAAGATAATTTTGTAATTTAACCACTCATTATTATTCTTAATATATATTACCATTTACAATTCATGCATAAACTATCTTATTTAAAGAAGCTTAAAATAAAACATAATTAAAATAAGAAGAACTTAATGCAAGAACACAAGCCTTTTAGGTTTGGGAATAAACAAAGAAAAAGAAAACTAGATCATCATTATTAACTTAAGAGATACCTTAAGAAGAATAGGATTATCGTGCAGATAGAGAAATGTTAATATAATAAATTCATTTATTATAACAAAAATAAGATTTTATAGAGAATTAATTAAAAGTAAGTGAAAAGCTCATATAAGAAATAAATAGAGATGCAAATTAAGCTTTAGAAAATTTGAAATAAGCAAGAAAATTATATGAAAAATTTGCTATAGATGATGAATTATTAAGTAAAGAAAGTATACAATTAGAATTTAATTCTGAATAATTTTTATTGAAATAGACTACAATAGATAAGAAGTAATTATAATTGATGGATTAAACATTGAAATAAAAGAAGAAAAATCACAAATAGTTTGGTATGTAAGTAATTTCTAAATATAAATTAACATGTGAATTATTACATAAAAGACAAGAGAAATTTGCATAGGCATTGGCTTTAAAAGAATTGGGATCATTAAATTTTGCAATGTAAAATTATGCTTAAGCTGAAGAATCATGGAGTGAAAGTTTAGATACAATATTTTAAAGAATATTTGTATTAAAAAGTAGTGCATTCAGATAAATTATATAGGAATGTAATAAAAATAATTAATTACTTGCATAAACTTATGGTATTCAATAATGTTTAATTGGTGTTACATTGTGTTCTATATTAGCATATAATTGTTATTATTCTAATTGTCATTAATAAAGAGAAAGTGCAATTTTAGCATCTGAATTAGTATCTTCAGTACTAAAATTATAAATGATTAATGGATTGGATTGGTAAGCATTTATTCACTCTAAAGAAGTTGCAATTGGAAATATATTTAATGATAGATATGTATTAGATCCAGCTGAATTGGCTTTGTCTTGTGAAAGATGTGCCTGGTTATTGTTAGATAGAGATGAGGCTTTAAGAGCAGTTCCTCTTATTAATTTACTTGGAGAATTAAGCAATAGATTATAAAGTAATTTTTATTCAGTACGTGCTAAATTATTAAGATCAATAGCCTTATCATCTATTGGATATATTAATTAAGCATATTAAGCTTTATTATAAATTGCAAATGAGAAGGATTTACCAGATTAATCAAGTTCACTTTGGTAATCTAGAGTTTCAGGAAAATGGTGGTATTCAAATTTAGAATGGAATAATTCAATACCTCCATATGATGAGAAACATACACAATTAACAGAAAAGATACTCAAAGAATTAGAGTTAACTAGAGAATTTGGTTTGAAATATGGTTTATAGAATGAAAATATTTTTAATTATGCTGTTGCACTTTTAGTTTATAATATTCATTCTGGGGATATTATTGAAAAATGGGAAATAAATGATTTAAGATGTAAATTCTTAATAAAAGTTGAATCTATATTGAGAAATACTTTAAATAAATTAAATTAGGAAGAATAAATAGAATAAAAAATTTTGACTAAACCAAAGGAGGAAATATTAGCTGATCCAAAAATGGAAGATTATTATCACTTATAAGGAACAACTAAATAAATTGGAGTAACAAATAATTAAGAAGCTTTAACATATTTATAAAAAAGAGAAGAGAGAATGTATATGATGGCAAGATCTAGAAATTTAATGGCAAAAGTTAATGTTAGTATGGGTTAAATTACAAGAGCATTATATATATTCAAATATGCAATTGAGAATTTATAATCATATACACTTGAATTATCTACAAATGAGAATGGTGAGGAATTGGAAAATTTACCTTGGGATCAATTAAAACCATAAGGAGTAGTTGAGGATAAGAAGGGAGCTAAAAAAGCACCTGAAAAGAAAGGTAAGGAAGGAAAAGAATCTAAAGATAAACCTATTGCAGATGAAGCACCTGCTGTTAAAACAGATGCATAAATAAAATTAGAAGAAACCATTTTATAAATTGTTGAAGCAAGAAAGACTAGACATTCAATTAATATATATTATTGGATTAAATTAAGAACTGAATTAACATTATTATTGTATAGACATAATCGACATGATGAAGCTTTAGAATATATGGAAATTTTGATGAATGATTGCAAATAATTTAATGATAATTTTCATTAAAGATTAATAATTGAATATCAAGCAAGAATATAATTTAAGAAAGGAAAATCAGTTGAATCCATTAAAAAATTTAAAGAAGCTATAGAAATTGGTTAAAAGAATTTCCATTAAGATCCTTAAATGATTGTTTTATATGGTGATCTTGGAGAAATATATTATGAAAAAAATGAATTATAAGAAGCCAAACAATAATTTTATGATGCTTATTAAATGGCTGAATAATTAATGTAGATGATAAATTATGGATATGGAGTAGTACCTAATTGGAATTAAAAATGTGGATAAGAAAAGATTTAGATTTGCTAAGATTTGTGTGTTCCTTTGGAAATAGAATAAGAAATATTAAAAAAGACAGATAAATAAATAAAAACTACTAAGAAAGATGAAAAGAAAAAAGATGATGGTAAAGTAGTAAGAAAGGGAGCTGATAAGTAAACAAAAAAAGATAATATTGATAAACCATAAATGCCAATAAAGGGATTAAATTAATTACCTAATTTTAATTTCATTTAACCAACAAAACTTACATATACAACAGTAGATATAGATACAATTAATAATACATAATATCAATATAATTGTTATTTAAAGAACATTGAATTATGGTAGAGAGCATCATTAAGATATGTTGATATAATGATTACATTAAATTAAGCCAATGAGAATTCTACTATATCAATAGATTCTTAAGAATCATCAGTTGCTTCAGATTCAGAAAGTGATAAATCTTCAGTTAAAGATATATTTGATATTAATGTAATTAGTGAAATTGTTAATAAAATTGATACTTCAATTAGTAAAAGTATAAATGTTCCTATTAGTTTCAGATTAGAATTGTATTATTTATAAAGTAAGATATTTAAAATGAGATTTGTTTAATTACTATTAAATTTACAATAAAAGTATTTTATGAAATATTTATCTGGTAAAAATAAGAAATATGCTGATTTCTATGAAAAAAGACCTCATAGAGATTTAGTAAGAAATAAATACTTTTTACTTATTCCTCCATTTTGTTAATTACTTAAAGAATAGGGATTATAATATCTTATGTAAGCAAAAGAAAGTTTGTCAAAAGCTATTAGTGTAATTAGAGGAGAAGCTGTGTTATTTGAATATAATAGAAAACCAGAAGATATCTTAGTTGCAATGGCTGAGATTTGTTTATTTATTAGAGAATATCGAGTGAGATAAGGATACAGATATGTGAAGGTTGATTATTTATAATCCTTAATTAATTCTAAGAGTAATTATTATTATTAATATATTTAGATACTGAATAAAATAAAATAGATTTGGAATAATAATTAATTAGTATGGAAAGATCAGATAGATTAGAATAACTTAATTTAGAATTAGAAGCATAAAGTTATTTAAAATATGCAATTGAATTAGTTAAAGCTAGACAAGAATTATTAGAAAATTTTGCTGCAGTTGCACTAACACCATTACCAGATGTAAATAAATTGGCACTAGAAATTTATACTGAAATAATCGAATAAGATTATTAATATAAGAAAAAATATAATCCTATGTTATTTGATGAATCCAAGAAAAAAGTTGGTGTTTCATCAATGGATGTTTTATAATTCATTTAAAAAGTATGGAGAGAAGCAAAAGTAATGACTTTTAGTGGAGCATATTTATAAAGAATGATTTCTAAAACTCATCGTTTCTTAAAATTACATATGTAATCTTATCAAAAATGTTTGATAACTTCATTAGAAGTAGCTCCAAAAAATGATGTGAATGCTGTATTTATAGATGAAGGCATAATTGTTACTAAATTATTGTATAATCCAGTTGCACATGAATTTAAAGTTCTTTATGTTTTAGGAGGATTAAATAAAGACAAAATTATTACTTCATTATCTAAAGAAGAAAAGGATAAATTAATAATATCAGATGAAAAAAATGTATTATATGGTAATATATATATTACTGATGCTAATATTTCTATGCTTTTATAAGATGCTCTGAATTTATAATCTAAAATGAAGGAATCAGATTAATAATCATAAAAAATGAAAGAAAGAGATTACAAACATCATAAAAAGGCATTCTATAAATTAATTGAATAACTAGGATTCTATTTCTTCTAAAAACCAAGTATAATTTATATTAATTTAGGCACAATTTAAATGTAAAATGGTTAAACTCATGAAACTGTTAAAAAGAATGTAGCATTTAAAAAATCAGAATCCTTTATGTAAGAATAAAATGAACCAGATATTCTTGCAAAATATGAAGCAATAGTTCCAGAATTAACTCATGATAACATAACCATTTTAATCAATTTATTCAATGATTAAGGAGTATTGTCCATAAATCACAATTATTTAGCTATTTTAAGATATTTCCATCATTAGAAATATAAATGAGATTATAAATACATTTAAATTAATATTAATTATGTTAGAATTAATAAAATAATAGAATTAGACAAAATGCTTTAAATATATTCCAGCCTTTCTAAATAAAAATAATTGAATAATGGAGAATCTAATCCAATAAAAATGTTTTAAACATGATCAAGATTTTTTAGCTGTTCAAATTGCTTAAGAAAATAAAGATGAGAATAAATATTTTTGCCCTTAATGTTTAATTGAACTTATAACTAATAAAGAATTGATACTAATAAGTTAAGCAAAGATACAAATAGAGAATAAAAAAAAGGAGATTTCTAAAAGAATATAAGAACAATGTTAAGAAAAAATAAATTTAATAAGCAATATTAAAAAAAGTATAGAAGAATTATAGTGTCCTATAAAATAAGTGTTTAATTCAATTATTGGAGAAATTGAATAATTAAAAAGCGAAACCTGTAATTAACTTTAATAAAGTCAGATACTTACTTCTGAAACTTAAATCTCTGATTAAGATTTAAAATTATTAAAAGATGATTAGAGTAGTTTATCAACATAAGAAGAAATCGATGAATAATTAAAAAAATAAGTATTCCTTTAAATTAAATACTCTTATTATTCTTAATAATTAAATGAAATTCTTAAATAATTTGAAAAAATAGCATCCTTACATAATGATAGTTTTGATAATTCTGATAGTACTTCAGAATAAAGCAATCCTAAAGACTATGTAATTTTTTATATTTATATAGAAAACGATATCTTAAAAGTGTAAAATTCATAATTAATAATTAAAAATGCTAAAACTTGATTAAAATAATAAAGTTTAAAAATATGCCTGTATTTAATGTATATCAGAAACATAAGGAAAATACATAACACCTACTTAAGTGTAATAATCTTTTCATGATTACTTATAACAATCAGAAAAGTTATTAAAATATTTTTAGTAATTAAAAAAGCAATCTACTAGTAACAAAATAAGTTTGTTAAATAAAATAAGGGAAATGTACATATAAAATATAAATTAATATATTCAATAATTAGAAGAAAGTGAAAAGTCTTTTAAAAATATTATTGAGACAAATTTATAATATAAGGATCATAACATATTATTATTAGAATAAGAACTATAATTGAAAATATTGGAACCAGTATATTCAAAAGAAAGTCCAGATAATTATTATAATATAATTAAAAGAGAATTAGAATATGAGAAAAATTTGTAAATCAAATTTGAAGAAAGTATGTAAGAATTGATTTAATTCGAAATTCAAAATTCTAATCAAATATATATTGAATAATTAGAGCATTAAGACCTTTTGAAAAAACTAGTAAACAATATTCAATTAGAAAATTTAGTATAAGACAATAATCTCATATCAGAGATTTCAAAAGATGATGAAGAAATTTTAAATTTAGAAAAATAAATAAATAGTTTTCTATCTAAAAAAATGAAAATATGTTTAAAGTATAATTAATTGTTAGAAATATTTGAAAATCGTAATATTTTATAGATTGAAGAAGCACAATTGATTTAGAAATTAAGTGATAAACAAAAAAAACTAAAAGCCAAAAATATCAATTGTGAAATAGGGAAAGAATAATTTTAAATAAAATAAGAAAAGCAAAATAGACATTTAGAAAGATTAATGACTAACATTAATTCAACCTCGTTTTTTAATTACACATAAAAAGAAATTACAACATAAGACTTTGATAAAAACTAAAATGTTGAAAAGGAAATAAATTAGGTTATATATAAATTTTTAATTTGTAGTGTAGATTCGTAATTGGTCGATTTGAAGCCCTAAAAATAGTATAGAATAATTCTTATTTCCCTTAATTTGATAATAGTACTAAATTACCTACCTTATAATTAGTTAATCAAAAATTAATTAAATGTAATTATATTCTTAATTAACTACTAGCCTCTTAAGGAGTATTTGGATTAGCTGTCATATAACCTCCATTACCAAGTGATAAAGTATCAACATTCATTTTTTAAATAAATGTATAATATTTAACAATATTAGTAATCAAAATCTCTAACAGGAATTGGAATTTGTAACTTGTAGGCAGCTAAAGGCTTTAATTATGATATGACTGCAAATCATTAATCTAAAAGCCATAATGCTTATCTTGTATGTTCTAATGGATATTAAATTTCAAGTAAATTAGGTTATACTAATACTAAATTTACATTTGAAAATAATGGAATCATACAATGTGAATATAATCCAATGAATTTAAGATTAAATTTTAAACATTTGAATGTATAAAAATAATATAATAGTATTAGGATGGAAGAACTTATTAAGTCGATTTGGCTAAAAATAGTTTAATTATGTCTCCATGTGTTATGCTAAGTGGAGATGCAGAAATAGAAATATTATGAAATTTTTGATGTATTAAAAAATCTTAATATTATGTTATTGGAATTCGATATATATATTATAATTGAATATTATAATTTTTAAAACATAAATATTGCAAGATCAAAGTTAAATCAAACATAGTTGTTTAGGTTACTGCGATGATAATATGCTTTATTAATTTTCCATAGTTTATAATGACTTGTGAATTTCCAAAAGTAGTAAAATTAAATAATGTCTTAAGCATTTTTAGTTTTAATCTTAAATAATGGAAATAATTTACAAGATGGGATAAGAATTCATATTGTTTACCATATCTACACATTCCACATTCAAATATTGCAATTTCTTTAGTTGTCCAAGTTTCTTTAATGATTAAAAATAATAATTATACCAAAAGGAAAATCATTTCTTAATGGAGATATTAGAATATCTAAAACATCTTATTAAAGTAATGAATAAACATTAGTATTTGTTTGTTATTGTTATTATTGTTCAGTTTATTCTTGATTGGGTGAATCATTATCAAGAATCTTCTTTTTTCTTCCAGGTTTCTTTTCCTTAAATTTATAATGTGATATAAACTTGTTTGAGTTCTTTTTTTGAATCAATTAAGACCTTTTCTTTCATAAACTCTGCCAATTTTTAATCACTCTTATAATACAATTAGACCACAACACTAAGAAGACTCTCTAATGCATTGACCCACAAAGGTTAAGTTCCTTTTTATCTATATTGTCCTCCTTATGGCAATTTCTTAGTGAATATGATTGGAGTAATTGAGTTTGGCGGTAAAAACTTACTATGTAAAAATAATAAGAAAAAATAAATGATGTATATATGGATTAGAGTTGAGATTGAATTGAAAATGATCTTACTCTAATAATACTTCGTCAATTAATGCATCTTATTTACTTTTCTTTTTGTATTGATTTATTTATTATGTTGGAAGCTCTAAATATCCGGTACTAAAATAATAATAAAGGAAGGAATTAAAATATAAGAGTGGAATATGAAAAACTACATTTGTAGTTGTTAATAATTGTAATAGATTGATAGTTACATACATATGAGAACCTTATCGAGCAAGATGTTTAATTTATTAGATGACTTATTTTTATTATTCTTTAACTCTAAAGGAATTGCATTACAAATTAATTGCTAAATTAATGTGAATACAAGTACTAGCCTTTTCAGCACTGCCATCCATTTTTATAACTTTTCGTATACTTAAATCGAGTCCATTTATATCTTCATATTAAGTGCAATTATATTTATTTTGTTACTTTTCATCTGACATATCGTTCATTATCTCCTACCAACTAAATATAATCTAAAGCAGAACCTATCTAAAAATGAATAATGCTTATTGAAAATAATTAATTTGTTTCATAATAATTCTAAACCCTTATATTCTAAAGCAATGATTAGTTACTTTTCATAATGAAAAACATTATCATAAGATATCAACTTGTCATTCATGAACTTTATTATCCATTTCCATTTATTTTTCTTTTTATTTTCAATCTGTCTCCTTTCTAAAAATATTTAATGTACTCCCCAATATCCAACTCTTATTTTTTATTTACTTTACATCATAACTCATGCAATCAATGATATTCTAATAAATCTTAAAGGATAGACAAAAAAATAAAAATATTAATGGAAAGCCTTAATTACATAATATTCCATTATGAGTTTTTATTTTACTATAAGAATTGGAAACCTAGACAAAATATGTAAACTTCTTTAATTTTCTCCTTCATTTTCATAATTGAGACAAAAAAAACTAATCATTTGGAATTATATTAAAATCGAATAGAAAAGCTTAGGATTTTGATAATATAATTGTATCGAACTTATGTTAACAAGTATTTTTGTTATTAAGTACTTTTATAATAGTAAAAAAAAACAAATTTAATTTGATAATTTATATCATTTATCAAATATAGCAAAAGCTGATATAGGTCTTGGAACATCCATTTTAATGCTTACTCTATTTGATTTCTTTATATTGTCACATCCTTTATAATCAGTTCTTGAATACTATAAAATATTGTAAAATTAATTAAATTACTAATTTTTTAAGTGTTTCATTTTAACTTAATATACTTTTCATATCACTTTTATAAGTATTACTTTCTCTCATTTTCATAGGACTAGTATCATCTTTTTAACCTTAAGTTACACTATTACGAAATCCTAAAGATGAATTTGCATGACCATAAGTTCTAATACTTTCCATTTTACTTTATTATTCTGATTTTTGAAGACAAGATATTCTTAACTAAATTAGCATTTTAAAATTTGTATACTTTTTTATCTACTTTAGAATCTGGTGATAAAATTGGATCTTTAAATACTGGTTAACCTGGTACACTTTTTCTTAATCTTTTTTATTCACTTTCAATTTTTTGTTCCTATTTATAGACTCTAATAGAACTCCTATAATCTTTTTCTTAATGAATTTCTGATGATTATTATTGATATTTTTTCATATAATGTCCTTCATTAAACATCATCAATTTAACATTAGTTTTGTTTGATGAAGTGTGTACATTTCTAAAGGGATCACTTTAAGAATCAATTCCACTAAATAAAGCCTTCTTTTTACCTGATTTCTATATTGGTGTATCTTAATTAGCCTGATTAGAATAATAATTTACTTAAACAATAGTATCAGTAACTTTATATGTAGGAGAGTTCATTCTATTTTCCTTTGCTTTTTTACATGATTCAATTAATGCTTTTTACATTAATTAACTGTTGTATAATAATTCTCTATCTTATTATACAGATTTATTAGTTTTAAGAGGAGTAGATGTAACAGCCCCAAGAGATTGAACTTTTGATAGGGCTGATTTTGTATTAGATTAATACATTGTTAAAATAGACATTTTAAATATGTTATTAAATTTTATTTTGTTTTAATCATTCCAATTATTCATTTGTTAGTATATTATATCTTCTATTTACACTATTAATACTAATTTTTTTTTTGTGTTATATTTAATCTATCGAAATAACTTCATGATTGTGTCTTTCACTTCTTTATGGTGATACATTACCAGATACACTATTTGATTTTTTCTTATTTTTACCATCTCTATTTCTAACTTTACCAAACGTTCCTTCAAATCTTTTTGATCTTTCTTATGATAAATCTAAAGAATGATCATTACTCAATTCTTCTTTTTAAATATTGGAATTTTAGACATTTATTTCATTCTCAGATGTTTAAATAGCATTATCCTTTAATTAATGATGTAGAAATGTAGGAGAAGATTCAATTAATGTTTTTTAATTTTTTCCATTTTATTAATATTCAATAATCTAATCCCCATTTGTTACATTATTAAACAATTATTGTTATCCAAAAGAAATTCTATTTTGCTTATGAAAAATTGGTTCTTATTATGAGATTGTCTAACTTGGAGTATCTCTCATAAGTACAGGTTAAGATTAAGAAGCATCTGATTCAGTCTTTATTACTTTATATTAATAATTGTAACTATTCTACATAGCTAATTTTGATATCTTTTCTTTTAATTAATCTTTGAGTATATTAGTTTTCATCAACTTCTCACTCAATTTATTCGAAAGTTGAGATGTTGATGCAATTTTAGTTGAAGATTAATATTAACTGTAATTTTATTCTTAAACTCTATTAATTAAAGACTTTAAAGGATCTAGATCAGTTGTTATTATTTTCTTTATCATTGATTAAAATTTATCATTACTTCCTTATTTAGGTGTGTATTTTTAATCAGATGAATACCATGATTTATTATTACTAATAGGATATTATTCATAACATTAAGTTGAAGTTTCTGTAAAATATTAATTAACTATTTGAAGAACTTTTGTTAATAAAGCAGAGTATTACAAAGTATCAAACATTTATAAAAACTTATCTTTATTACCACATCTTTATATAAATAGTTTATTTAATTGATGATTTCCATGTACAATTGATAGAAAGAGAAATATATTGCATTACAAATTTTAATCATATAGATCTGTTTTATTTGAAAAACTATTAGTCATTGGTTTTTTTGCATTAGGACTCAAGTAAATTGTGTTATTCATTCCCTTTTATAATTAATGTAAGTTACAATCGAAGTGTCTAAAATAAATGAATTGCCATATTATTTTTTCATCCTATAATTATTTTATTAATATAATGGATTTTAAATCTCGTTTTAAGGGAAAGATGACTATAATGAATAAAGAAGGAGTTATAGGAATGGTAAACAAACCCTCAATTCCTATTGCAAAAAATAACTCATATTTAAGTTAAAAGAATGAATTATCTCCAACCATATAGAATCTCGGTCATAATACTGAAGGAATAAGGGAAACCAAATCTCATATCTTTACAAATATTTAAACATCTCCCAATAAAAGAAATTTAACTAATTATAGTTAAAAGTTTTCAAATGCTGGATAATAAATTATTAAATAAAATCATGTTAAGACAGAACATCATTATTATTTAGATGATCCAAAAAAATAATTGAATTAATTGTAATTTAAAATACATTAGGATTTTAATTAATTGAATATGGATGATTATGAAATTGTTGCTATTCCAAAAACAATGTTAGGCTAACTTCGTCAATAATTAAGTGTTGATAAGTATGGATTAAATAAAAGTTTTGGAATTGATAAAAAAATACCTGTTGAGTATTTTATATCTTTTAGATAGATTGTCTTAATTATCACCTTAAATTACTACCAAATGTACAAGTTATAATTAAACACCTTTACTGAAAAAACAGAATACTTTTGATTAAATGCTGAAACCTCCTTTTAATAAATAAAGATCTGAAAAAATGGAGAAAAAGAATTAAATTATCTAATAAGCTGGTATTGGAACTTTAAGATACAAGTATATACAATTCATTATATAATTTAGTTCCTATAGTAAAAGATGAGTTTTATATTATTATTAATAAATTTTGTTTTAGAAATACTTTATATATTCATTCAATTCACATTAATTTAGATGATTGAATGTACTAAATATAATTTTAATATCATAAGCTATTTTTGTTTTTATATATTTTATATAATTTTGGTATATTAAATTATATTGTATCACAATATAATGTCAAAAAGATTAACGATTTCCAAATTTAATCCATTTAATACAAATGAAAACCCTGAATTAGATCGAGTTGAAACTTATAAGACTTTTTATAAAAAAAGATTTAGAAAATTATAAGCAGATGAGAGTCCTAATTAAAAAATTATTCCTTAAAGTATTCTTTTAAAACCAGGATAAATTCCATTTAAAAGATCCTTTCAAAAACCAAAAGAAGATCTAATAGATGTTAAAAAATTGTAATTGTATTTATTAAGAATTAGTTAGATTTGTGAATTATGGAGTTATAAGTATAATCATGTAGTACAGAAGGTCTCAAAACTCAATAATGTGAGTGAAATCTTAGAAATTTAGAGATAACAATAAAGAAAATCATAAAAATATAAAACTTAAAACTCGTAAATATATATTTCATTCTTTATTAGATCTGATTAAATTCCTTATAATTAGATTGCACTTTCTGATAAAACCAAACTTAAAACTGCAATGTCAGATTATACTTTGCCCAAAATAGAATCATTATCTTCCTTTTAAAAGTAAGAAAAACTAAGCTTTTAATTTTAAGTACTTTATCCCCAGAGAAAATTTTGACTAGTTCTTAAACTCAAAAAAATAACTCTATATCTGACTTCAAAGGCAAACTCAGAGAATTAATTGAAATATGTGACAATGCATAATTATTTAGTCCAAACAAGTTTAGTAAGATATGATATTCTTCTGATGCTTAATCAACCGAATTTTATATTCTTTTTTTCTAATCATTCTATTTAATACTTATTTTATAATAATTAATAAATCCTTTGAATTTAAGAAAATAATCCTGTAGAAATTTAGACTTCCAGACTGAAAATTTGTAAACTTTTATAATCTAATTATTATTAAATATATATATATATATATAATGAATAAAGAAAGATAAATAAATAGTAAACATTCTACAGCAGATGTTTAACACTTATTTTTTCCGAATGAAGATAATTTTTCAAGATTTTGTAGGAAATTAAAGAAATGTAAGTCAACATTTTTAGGCTGCATTTATTAATTGACTCATTAATCAATTATTGACATAATAATTTAATTAGCTATTTAAGGATGTAGAGTTGATATAATTATGGATTAAAATTCAGAAGAATTTGAGGAAAGAAAATAAATAACCATTAATAAATTATTAGTAATGAGTGGATTTAAAGTAAATGTTTCTTTGATTGAATCTAAAGGTTTAATGCATACCAAATATTGTGTTATTGATAATAAACTTACAATATTAGGTAGTGCTAATTGGACTTATTAAGCATTCTCAAATAATTTTGAACATATAACAATAATTAAAGATTCTAAAACAGCAAAATAATTTACAGAAGAATTTAAAAATATATGGGATTAAGCAAAATAAGCTAAATTCATAGAGTCTTAGATTATATATTAACCAAATCAAAATTGTATTGAATTTAAATAAAAAAACAGAATTTCACCAAAATTAAGAATATCAAAAAGAAAATTTTAAATGAATTTTCGAAAATATAAATCAAAAAAATAACTAAAATAAAAAAATAAATAACATATAAAAGAGAAGGAGAAAGATATACCTAAATTTTAAATGATATAAATAGAATAAAATTAAATATAAATAGAATAAAATTAAATATAAATATAATAAATTGAAGAATAACAAATAAAGTAAGTTTTCAATTAAAAAGAATTAAAAGACTTTCTTGAGAATCTAAAATTAAATGAAGAAAAAAAATAATATAATATTAATTAAAATACTATAAATAATGATAAAATAAAAGATACTAAATATAGTTTGATACAATAGGAATCTAATCCTTGGTAAATTTAATAATAATTATTTGATCCAAATATAACTAAAAATCAAGTAAAACGTAATGAAACTTAGAATAAAGATTAAAATATTATTGTAATAGATGAAGATGATGATGAAGATGTACAAATAATAACAGATATCTCTAAGTATTTCCATTGATTTTTTGTTATATTGAAATTTATAATAAAGAAAACAAAAATCACATGTTTATAGGGAGAATCATTTTTTGAGTGTTCTAAAATTTTAGCTATTTTTATTAGAATGATTGACTAGATATTAATTAATTACTTACCAATCTTAGATGAATGCGGTGAGATTTCTTATTTTTCAGAGTTACTATTATTCATAAATTATTAGATATTAAGTTTTATTTAAATAGGTTATTTTTTTGTTCCTTAAAATTCGTTCTATTTATTATATTCTTAATTCTAACTATATTAATTTTAATGCTTTGATATATTATAATTTTAATATTCATTCTTTATTTTTAAATCTTCATTATTATATCTGATTGGTGAAATTCTTTAATTTTATTGTTAAGGCGAAAAAGTAATTTAAAATTAGTTATTTTATTTTTAATTAAGTAAATTATCTTATTAATTTAATTCATTTTAGATTTATTAATCTATCAATGGCTTAAAAGAAAATACATTTCTTTCAGAACGACTTTATTCTTGACTTTAAGTAATAGGATTAACTTACCTCTCTTTTAATAATTATTGTAAATCAACTTTATGAATATATTATTCTTAAGTATTATCATCAAAGCTATCATCATATTCTTAACCAGAATGTTTATCATCAGATAGATTGCTAATATTATGAATAGAATTCATTGTATTTTATGAAATGTTTTATTTTGATTTATTGATCTTTTTTTTATATAAAATTGCAGTAGGACTTTCATGATTTTGACGATTAAATATTTTAGATATTTCTGAATATTTAGTATTCTCAAAAGGTTTTGAATATAATTCTCTTTCTTATTCATTTTTCAATTTCAAAAAATGATCATTTATATTTAGTTATTCTACACTCTTTGAAGTTTCTTTATTTAATATTCTCTAGTTCGAAATTTCAAAAACCTTTTATCCTTTTTCAAATGTTAATTTTATATGTTAACCAGAATTTTTGTTTTATTTCTTTTATTTTACAACAAATTTAAATTTTGGTGAACTAGGTCTTCTTGTTTTATTTTAATTATTATATTCTTCATTTTATTTTTAAGATTATTATTCTTATTTTTTTTTATTAATTGAATTAATAGATGTATTTGTTTATTCTTTTTAGATTTTACTTGCATTAATCAATGATTAAAACTCTTATTTTATTTATTGTTAATCTTCAAAACTAACATCATTTGTGTTTTTACCAATTTAAGAATAATTCTTAAAAAGTGTTGGATATTCATTTTTTTCATTATTTTCAGTTTTCTAAATAATATATGAAGGATATTTGTGAAGCCATTTATTATTATTTTCTTCTAATTGTGGATCACTTGATATTAAATAATTAGATTGAGTTTTAGAATCAAGATTTCTTGAACTATGGGGACCAGTCAATAAACTTGGTTAAAATTTGCTATTAAAAATTTAGTTTGACAATAATCCATTTGGTTAAATCTTTAATTTACAAATATATAAATACATTTTAAATTCCTTTCCTTTAATTATGACTAAATAGATTCAATTCACAATTCTTATCTAATTATATTGATTCGAATGCTAAGCTTAAATTAAGATCAATCTATTACATTTAAACTTTTCATAATCCAAATCAGAAAAGCTAATATTCTTTAAATAATTCATTTCTTGAAAGAAGCCATCCTTTTACATATTATAAAAAACATTGTTTTTCTTTAATTAATCTTAAGTTTTCCTAATATTAATTTAAATAATATACCCTTACTAATTCATACTAGTTTGTTATTCATGTTCATAAATTGAAAAAGTGAATTTCAAATTAGATATCATCGTTAACTTTGAAATAATTTATATGATATTACATTCTAATCCAATAAAATTGGGATTTAATATAAACATTAAGAAATTTCTTACATCTCTTTTGCTCCTTCATCATCTATTATTAAACTCTATTCTAATTGTTCCATTAATAAATTATAAACAATTAATTCTTAAATATAATATTTATATATTTGATATAAAATTAATTCATTTTATAAGTTTTCCATTTAATTAATTATATATTCACAAAAATAAATGATAATTTATCAAAATAATCAAATTTTTTATTTATATTCTAACTAATTCCTTTTTACAATAATAAATATATTTTATTATCCAATAGTTTTAAAAATGATATGAGATTTAATCAAATAAATAATTTTTATAGAATTTTTTCATTCAAATTAATTAATAAAAAATCAATTTTTCTTCCATTTTTGAATATATTGTAATTATATAAGAAAAATGGTTTATTTTTAATTATAAAATGAAAAATAATAATTATGTTTATTTTATATCAATCAAATCTGATACGTCTTAAATTTGCAGCTAAAACAGAATCATCAGCTTGAATAATCTCAAACTTCTTTTGAATAAAAGAAAATTAAATTTCCTCTAAACAATCCTAACTTTATGAGAATTTAACTGTTTTTCCTTTATAAACTTCTTCATCGAATCCTTAGACTACAACACCAGGAGGAATCTTGATAGATTTAACCTAACTGATTTTTTCCTATTAAATATTTAAATAGATTATTACTCTTGCAAGTGATGGAGTGTCTCTGCAGATTTCATATTTAGTTCCCTTGAATCCACATTCTGTATACAATTCAACACAATCTTCTTTTAATTCATAAAGTAATTAGAATTCTCTGAAACCCCATGATTCATCATCAGCACCTTAATCTAATGTTGAACTTAAGACTATGTTAGCAGTAGGATTAGTATGTTCAATAATAACATCAACATTGAAGAAATAAGTCATCCATGTACTTTAAGGAGCTCCACAAATTTTGGCTTATCCTGGAGTACTGAATCCAAATGATCTTTCAAATACAACTTTTCCATCAACAAAGACTTAGAATTTTTCATCATCCCATGAATCGATCTTCCAAAATTAGAATTGAATTCTGAGTCTAGAATGTTTTGGAAGATTGAAATTTCTTTCAGCTTTAGCTCTTACACCAAATCTTTGATAACCACCAAACAATTTCTTTTATCCACATGTAGAGAATGGATTTTAATTTTAAAAGACATTTGATGGAATCCAATCTTATAATCCTTAGAAATCTTATTCATCATTAAAGAAGAATCTATTTAATGTCATCCATTTAACTAATCAATATATAAATATATTAAATTACTTCCTTCTTTACATTCACCATTCACTAAATCAAAACCTTAACCACATGAAGTACAATCAGATTTTGCTGGTCCAGTACAACCTGTACATCCTTTGAAACATTAAGCAGCAAATAATTAGAAATCTCTAACTCCCCATGATTCATTTTCAGGTGGTTCATCCAATGTTGATTTCATTAAGACTTTTACTTCAGGGAATTTGTGAGGAACATTTATTTCAATATTAACAATCTTTTCAGCCCATCCTTCTCCTTATTTTGCACCTGTATCAACACCACAAAGATCAACACCTTCATTATAAGCAAAGGCTTATCTAAATTTCTCTTAATCATCAATTTCCATTAAAAATAATTCATTATCCCAAGAATCAATCTTCCACATTTAAACCTTGACTTTGACTTAAAAATGTGGAGGCAAATTTGTGAATCTCTTCCATAAATTAGCTTTTCTTCCTAATTTTCCAAAACCACCAAATAGTTATACTCCTGCACATTCATTTGCTTCAGCTTTTCCTTCTCCATCTAATGTCCATCCTTCTAATGAAATTTATTTATTCCAATTAGTAGCTACATTTGTCCAAAAGAAACAATTATCTGGTTTATTATCACCACATACTGCACATTCTGGATGACATCTTTAGAATGATAATTTGAAATCTCTAAATGCCCATGATTCCTATTATATTTATAATAATTATCTATACATTCAATGCATCTTCATCCAAATTTGATGTCAATACTATACTTACAGTAGGTGAATTATGTGGAACTTCAAATTCAATGTTATAAAAAGCTTCTTTCCAATCATTAGCAGCTCCACATAAATTAGCACCTTCAGAATAGTGCCATTTTGCTTGCCAAATGAAACCATCAACTAAAACAAACATTATTTCATTATCCCAACTATCAATTCTATTATTTTAGTTATTTAATCAATATTACTTCCACAATTGTACATTGATCTTTAATTTATAATGAGGTGGAAGTGTTAATTATTTTAATGCTGTTGCTCCTTTACCAAAAGCTCCATATCCACCAACCAAACTAATTTTATCACATTTGCTAAAAGTATTTCCTTTAAATGCTTTCTTTACAACCCAACCTAATTATTAATTATCAATCAATACCATCTAAGTCATTTATTTCAGCTGATGTAAATGCTGTATAATGGGTTACCCAAGGATCCTATGCTAATAAGATCTACAAACTCAACAATATAAGTAGGATTGTCTTCATAATATAATAATATTAATGCTAATCATTAATTCTCTTAAAAACGAATACTTTATAATTTATATTATCCAATATATATATAAATTCTGTTTGTATCATCCCTTTTATCCATTTCCATTCTTAAAAAACCATACTCTTATCTAATTATTTTAAACAAAGAATTAAAATAAATATGATTTCTATATATTAAACTGTCATTTGACACTTCTCTTTTCTCAGAACTCAAAAATATCATCACTATTCATTCCCAATTATTAGAAATTTGTTCTAGCTAATGAATTCATCATAGGAGGACCACAAGTTAAAGCCAAAGTTTGATTATCTAATTTACCAAATGCTTATTCAGTCATATCTTTAGTGACAAATCCAGAAAAACCAACCCATTAAGCAGGAGGCTAATCATAATTAAATAATTATATACATTGTCTAAAGTCAAATGTAGAGTTAGTTTCTTTAATGCAGCAAATGCTTTTAATTCATTGTATAATAAAATGTCTTACTAATATGATAGAATAATAATAATTACTTCAGATTTATTAGCAAAAAGTAATGCTAATTAAGTTCTATCATTATTATTTGTGGCTACAGCTTGTATAATTTAATACATTGGTGTAATTCCTGATCCACCAGCAATCATCACAATTTTTTTATATTTTTTTCTATATAATTATGGCATTTTATTGATCTAAACATTTCCATATCCTAAATACATTAATCTACCTCCAGGACCAGTAATATGAATAGATTCTCCTGGCTTATTATATAAATTAATTTTACATTCATATTTTCAATCCAAGAAGTTAATTTACCTCCATCTGGAAATTTAGGATGCTCATTAGCTCTATAGATTTTGATTAATAAATCAAAATTGCCTTTCTAATCAACTGGGCTAGTGGGAGTGTATTTCCTCTCCACCAACTCTCCTTCAGGATATTCCCTAGTTTTTATTTGCTCACTAAATAGTTAAAATTTTAATTACTGTAAGATAATATGTTATCCTACTTCGATTCCCAATACGTGTCTTTTAGATGGAAGAGCAAATTTAAAATTATATGTGTCATGACTCAATTTTGTTTTCTCTATCAATTGACAAGTTAAATATTCCCGCTTATGTTTGGGCTCTAAAGCAGTTGGACCTTTGGGATTAATAAGACTTTTCCATATAAATTTGATTAAGGCTACAACAAGGAGGGCAGCAAATATATAAATATAAATCATTTAATAATATTTAAGTAAATCAAATATAGGATTTAATTTTCGCTTATTGTTAAGGTACATTATAAGGAGAGACCTTAGAGCCTGATTTTTGAATCATACTAGATTGATTATATTGAGAGTATGATTATAGTTGATAGGGTTGATTGGTTAACCTTGTTTTGTTTTCATTTGGTCCTATACTTTTGAATATCTTGATATTTATTTTCAATTTCAGACATTTCGTGATGATTTTTTATAATAATTTCATTAATTTCATTCTCTTTATGAAACACATTCTCTTCCAAAAATGATCATTCCCTATCATACATTGATTTTACCTCTTGAACATATAATTCAATTTATTTAATCTATTTCAATAACTATTTATTTCTGCAGCTAATCTATTTATAAGCAAATTCATATATACCTATTATTCTCTTCCTATAATTATCTCACTTAATTATCTAACTTAGATAATTGTTCTATTGATACTTTAGCATTAGGATTTTCTGCTTATAACTTCATTATTTTTAGACCTGAAAATATACCATTTGGATATTTTCTCACTTTCCATTTAAGTTTTATCATTATCAAATTTTAATTAATCATTTCCTACTTCTCTTAGTTTAAGTCTCTATTAATAATTCAGATCTAGATGCTTATTTTAAATCATTTTAATCATTTATCTAATTATTCAATTTAAATTTTGGATTGACCTAGCTATTGATTCTAATTTCTAATTTCTTATTAGAGCATATCATTTATGTTTGAAAGATTAATATTTTATGTAATTAATTTGGTTTTTTTATATTCTATTCATTTCTTTTATTTAGGATTTATTTTTTAAATAGGTTTTTCTAATTTCCTTTCTTTCTTTGAGGCTCTGTTCTAAATTTTAGGTAAGTATGCTTTAATTATTTTACTTAAATTATGGTTATAAGATTGGTTTTTCATTTTTTTATTTTCTATTGATTTTGATATCTATTTTTGCTGTAGATTTAATAGTACAATAACTATATATATAACTTATGTTAAATATATATATAAATTATTTTTATGAAATATATTTATAAAAATATAAAATGAATTGAACCAAGATAATAAAAGTAATATAAGTATATTATTATTTATCATTAAATCAGCCTTCTTATAGAAATCTACGAATTTAACGTGATTCTTTGTTAAATAAATTGTATTCAATCATTTTATCAAAATCAATATAATATTTTGAAGTATTTCTCATTACATTTAGAGTGTTTGATTTTTGTGAGTTTTTGCAGTATTTTTAGTATGCTTTTTCTAGTGCATCTGTATTTTCTTTATCATAATTATTCCATTCATAAGATTTTGGTTATAATTAATATTACCATACTATTTCTTTTAAAGCTCCTCTACTAATTGGTTTTTTAGGTATTTCTTGATATGGTTTTTCAATATTCCTTCTTTAAATATGATTGATTTTCAATGTGTTTGTATTCTCAAGAGTTCCTTCTTTTAGATCTAATATAAATCTATGTTATTTCAAAGTGAATTCATATATGGATATCCCAGTTTAATATGCATTTTAATAGAATTATTCAATTGTATCACTGATTAATAAATGTAAAGGTCTAAATTTACCATTATTCTTTTCAAACCAATGGTATTATGTATAAGTTAATTTAGGAGTGGATTATTATGGTGATATTTAAATTTTATTGTGTTATTTGAGCAATTTTTTACCTTAAGGAACTTCAAAATATATTTGTCTTGATTTTCCATTAAGAGTATTGATTAATCTCATACTTTTTAGGTCTATGCAATGTCCACCAATTTCAGCAAAGCGTACATAAATGAGATCTTTCTCTTCATCAATGCCTTTGAGAATGGATAAACATAATTCGTTAGTTGCTTGTTAGACAGTTGTAGGTGTAATTTCAATATAAAATTCTTATAATTTATTTTGATTGATTTATTTTTAAGTCTAAGTTGATTTCTTATATTCTATATCATAAGGGTAATCATCTTGAGAATAGTTTAATTAATATTTTTGGTTAGGACCTACTTTTATCATTTTCAGAAAAATTAGTTAATAAAGTAAAATTAATAAATTTTCATTTTTATAATGAATTAAATAACATTAATATTATTGATCTCCATTTTTGGAGTGAATGGATATATTTAGACTGAAAGATGGTTTGAATAATAATTGATTGATCATTATGATAGAACTAACAAATAAACTTTTAGATAAAGATATTGGACAGTTGAAGAATACTTCTAGCCAGAAGGTGGAGCAATATTATTTTGGATCTGTGGAGAATACACATGTAATTTAAAAAATATAGAATAACTAAAGGTCCAGGAATAAGGAAAGAGAGACTATTTCCAGTTGAATTAGCATAGACACATAAAGCATTGATTGTAGTATTGGAACATAGATTTTATGGTAAAAGTATGCCATTTGAAAAAGATGCATTAAAAATAGAGAATTTAAAGTAAAATAATGAATTAATAATATAAGATATCTAGGTATAAGATAAGCATTAGATGATTTAGCTTACTTTTAATTGTATATTGTATAAAATAAATTATTTGGAGTAAAATAAAGTAATCCATGGATTGCAATAGGAGGTTCATATCCTGGTGCAATGGCTGCATGGTATAGATATCAATACCCACATTTAGTAGTTGGTGCATTAGCATCATCTGCAGTTATTTAAATTCTTACAGATTTTCCAAAATTTGATACATAAGTTTATTAAAGTGCTTTAAAATCAGGATAAGAATGTGCTGATAATTTAAAGGCTTTAAATTAATATGCAGAAGATAATCTAGAAACTATAAGAAGGAGATTGAATGCAGAAAAATTAACTGAGGATGAATTTTTATTTTATTTTACAGATGCTATCATTTTAAAAGTTCAATATGGTGGAAGAAGTAGATTATGTAATGATTTGAAGGGGAAGACTATTAATGAATAGATGGATTATTTTATAGAGAGAGCTCTAATTGAGGATAATCCATAATCATATGGATCATATTATTTGAAGGATGATGTTTATGATGAAAATAATCTTAGATCTTCGAGGTAATGGATGTATCAATGTTGTACAGAAGTTGGTTGGTGGTAAATAGCACCAGATTAAAATTCTTTGAGATCTAATAGATTAGATATTGAATTTTATAAATAACATTGTAAAAATATATTTGGTGAGGAATTGAAATTATGGCCAGATGAAGATAAAGGAAATGCTTATTTTGGAGGATTTGATTTATCAATTGATAATATAATATTTACTAATGGTGATGAAGATCCATGGAAATGGGTGAGTATAATTGAATAATAAGGAAATATGAATGTATATCATATTAATTGTACTGATGCTGGACATTGTGTTGAATTGTATACACCTACTGATTAAGATTGTGATTAATTGAAATAAGCTAGGATAGAAATTTCTTAAATATTTGGTAATTGGATTAGAGATCACTATTCAAAATAAGAATTATGAATATTTTATATCAATCTAACAGTATTAAAATTAAATAATTTATATGAATTCCAAAGATTACAGTATTTATTTGAAAATATTTCATAGTTCATAGAATGCTATACTTAAGTCAACTTAAAAAGGATTATTTAGAATAATGCTTATCCAAAGAATAAGAGCCAGATTATGAATTGATCCATGTTATTTCCATTATTGAATCAAATCAAAACTCAAATTTAGACTTAACTCTAGTTAAAGCAACATCACTTCTATTGATTCTGCCATTACTTAAGGTAAAATTATGCTATTATCGGTCAAGGCAGTGTCAAAATCAAATTGACTAAATTACCATCACATCCCAATAAGCCCAATAATTGAAAGATATCCTACCATAGTTCATTGAAGAAAGCAATCTCGACATTTAAATACGCAAAAAGATTCCTCAATTAGATCTAAATTAAATCAATTCATCTACAAGCAATATGATTTAATCTTCTTAAAGATTAAACAAACTATAAAAATCACCATCACAATATTAATTCAATACTGATCGTTTATAAAATCCTTAAAGTACAACAAGAATAAAAAAATAATTATTATCAACTGGTTTAAATCATTAAACTTAACCAAAATCACCTAATACAAAAATAGTGAATGTAAAATTGAAAAAATAACATACAGAAGTAGTAGGAAAATCATTAACACATAAAAAAAGATTATAATTATAATCTCATGAAGATATAAATAGAAAAGTTAGTTCTCATAGTTTTACTAAACATAAAAATACTAGTAGTTCACCAATTAATGAAACTACTAATATTTAAAGATAAATAAGTTAATATGCAAGTGGTTAACACTAATTAAAACCTAATTCCTCAGGTGCTAATATCCAAATCAAAACCATATTAGAATCTTAATAAAGTTAAAAAACACTTAATACTGTTAATTCTAATGATTAAAATGCTGATATTTCAATTCATTTGAAAAATCTAATCAGTTTTTGCAATTAATCAATATTAAAAAAGAATTAAGAATGTTATAGTTCTAAGAAGGACTTATCAACACAATAAACAAATTCTAGTGTCTTATAAGTAAAAGAAAACAACAAAGAAAATGCTTAACCAACTAAGAAATCAACTCCTTTATTAAAAGCAACTGAACATACAATGATTAAATTAACTGAATTAACAGAAGAAGATAATCCTGAAACAGCTAGATTTAATTCTGAGGATGATGTTCGAAAATTGACTAATTTCAATAGTAAAGGATTATAAAAATTACTTTAATCAAAAACAAATTAATTGTCCGAATAGAGCTCAACATAATCATTACTTTCATTATTTTCAAGAAAATGATTATTTTTATCAATTAATATTTAATAATAAAAATCTTAATAAAAATTGCGGAATCAATTAAATATTTTTAGTAATTTAATTATTTCTTTTCATTTCCTATTCCTTAAATTTAATTCTACTTCAAAATATAAATAAATACATAAAAGAAACACCTTTTATGATTACTCAATTAAAGAAAATAAAATTAATCTAAATATTATATAGATTTTATCTAATATTTGAATAATAAGATTATGATATTACAAATTACTCTTAACAAAAATGTTTCTATTATAAATAATAAGCATTTAATATTTAATTGATTTAGAATATTTAACAATTAGTTAAAATGATAATTGATTTTAATTATAATATAATTTATAAATGCAATAATAAACAATAGAGGACTTGGCAGAAAAGGAAGCTGAAATTAAAGAAGCATTTGAAATATTTGATAAAAACAAATCTAAAAGTATATCTGGTAATAAATTCTTAATTCATTATTATAACAGTTTAGGAATTGACTTCAGTTTTTCGTTCTTTGGGTTATAATTTTTCATAAGATGAAATATAATCAATGGTCAAAGAATTGAGACACACTTAAAAAGCAGAAGGAGCAGAAGATAAAGAATTAGATTTTGATGATTTTAAGAACTTATTATAAATGTAGGAAGAAAAAGCTAAAAGTGGAGAGGATGATTTGAGAGATGCCTTTGAAGTTTTTGATAGAGATGCAAATGGTTATATAGGTTTGGAGGAATTGATGATGGTAGCAAAAAGTTTAGGAGAGAATATTTCTGAAGAGGATTTAAAAGGGATGTTATAGTATGCAGCCAATACATTAAATTAAAAAGATGATGATAAGGATAAAGCACCTCAAATAAATTTATAGTAATTTGTTGAAGCTTATTTAAAATGAAAGCATATAAATAGATAATTATACTATACATTAAATTAATCAATCAAAAGTCTATAAAGTTATAAATAATATAATAGAATCCTTGAAAAATTTAAAAAGAAAATACTTACACAACTCTTCACAATCTCCTTGATTCATTTTCAAAGAAAAGAAAAATTTTTTAATTTAAATAACAAATTTAGTGATCTTATTTCACCTATTTAAAGGTGTCTCTTTTGCATTTGGTTCTAAAGTTAATTATTCTAAATTATAACAAAATTTCAAGGTCAAGAGAAAAAGATAATCAAGTTTCTAAAAAACATACTATATTTGAATGAAACAAAACAAAAAGTGAAGTATCTCTAGTGAGACTTTATGAAGGACCTAATTTTTAGGTTAAATTAATTAGTCCCTGCTTTTGAGTAAAAATTATTATCGAGTACATGAACATCATTATATTAGAGAATAATTTCTTGACCTGAAAAAAATGATATTTAAGTAAAAGAACATTCTAAATCATTTGTGAGTGGATTTGATTTTGGAAGATCAAAGTAGTTTATTGAATATATTCCTGGACAATTAGAATACAGAGCTGTAACAAAAATGTCACAAAAATATATGAATTTCTATTGGAGTAATTGATAAGTCAATACATTTTTAAAGATGTAATGGTTAAGATGTATTAAAATAATTTTATTTAGTTCTGGAAAATATTAAATAGCAGGAGAATTTGGAATATAGTGATTTATATGAATAATTATAAAGTTTATTTAAGAGTAAGACCAATTGATTATGATTAATCAATGTTGAATATCGAATAGAATGTCATTTCCATCAAAGTATTTCTTGTAAAGCACTTAGGATCCTACCAATAAATAAGCTGAGTGGTAATAGTACTGTTACGATAAGATATTTCCATCAACTTCTACTTAAAAAGAGCTTTTTGATGAGGTGTTCAATTTTGACTATTTAACTAAAAATGCCTGCATTCTATCATATGGATAATCAGGAAGTGGAAAAAGTTATTCTTTATTTGGAAATGTTCAAAACCCAGGGATAGTTCCATTATTTGTATAAAAAATGTTAGAAAAAAATCAAGCTGTAGAGGCTTCATTTTAAGAGATCTACATTGATTAAATCAAAGATCTTAATACTAATCTTGTAACTGAAGATTTTACAAGAAGGCAAATATTATTAATTAATGATCTATGGGATATGATAAAAATTGTTAGAAAAACAGACATAAAACGATAAGTGAGAACACATGTTATAATTACATTATATTTAAACTAAAATACTAAAATTTAGTTTATAGATTTGGCAGGATCTGAAAGAGTTGCTAAGAATATAACAGAAGGTGAAAAATATTAAGAAGCTATTATGATAACATCAAGTCATCAAGTTTTAAATAAATGTTTGAACTTATTTAATTAAAATAAAGCAATACCTAAAAGAGAGTCAAAATTAACTTCAGCTTTGATTTTAGAAAATAATACATAAGTTATTTTAATTGGAACAATTAATCCAAGTTAATCTAATTATGAAGAATGTTTGCTTACATTATAATATTTAGATAGAACTAAGAATGTTTAAGTTTAGATTCGGAAATAACAATCTCTTTTAGGATTAGATACACCAAATAATTCATAATAAGATAAAGTAATAAAAAGGTTGTAAGAAGAAATATAAGAATATAAATAGAAAATAGAATAAATGAATTTAGATAGAAAGAAAAAGTTTATAGATTTATAAAAATTACTTGGTTTAGATATTGATTTAGAAAGATTATCAGCAAAAAATGCAAAAGATATAACAATTTTTAGAAATTAATAGGAAGCATTATAAAAAAATATTAGTCTTAAAGAATAATTGGAATAATAATAATATGAAATTGCTGAATTAATAAAAAAGAATGAAGAATTAAAATAAGATTTTCATCAAAAATAAGAAAGATATCAATCTTAATTATTAGAATAAAGAGAAATTAATAAGAAATTGAAAGATTCAATTAATATGACAAAAATGAGTGGTGATGATGCATTAAGATAATTAAATTCAGAAAGAGATCATTTTATTAAGAAATTGTAAGATGAATCTAAAAATCTATTGGAAGATAAAGTAAATTCAATCATTAATCTACCTTAAACGGCATTAACTAAACTTTCAGAAAATTAAAAATTATAAGATTTAAGAAGACAAGCTAGAAATGATGCTGAAAAAGAATTTAATAAATAATTAGAATAGATTAAATAAGAACATTAAAAATGGTTAGATACTTGTAAATAATAATATGAATATATTTTAAATGAAAAAAATAAGGAAATCGAGAACTTTCTCTCTTCCTTTAAATAATATAGAGAAAAAAAAAAGTAATTTTTATTATTTTTATAATATTTAGATAATAAATCAATGAAATTGTAGATGAACTTCTTGATCTTTATGATATTATTTAAAAACAAAACAAAGTTATAGATAAAATAGAAACAGGTGGTTATAGTGGAGGACTAAAGTCTTTTAGCATTCCTAAATAAGATAAACCTAATCTTCCTAATAAAGTTAAACATAAAAAGTAATTAAATAATTCTATTTAGTTTGTTTTTTTATATAGATACAAAAAGTGTTTCAGCCACTATTACAAAGAAAGCTTCAACTATTGAAAAAACTATTAAAACTGCCACTAAATAATTAAAATAATCTCAAAGCTAAATTGTTATTGAAATAGATTATAATCAAATTGATTAAATTAACTTTTAATCAATGGATTTAAGTACTTTAAGATCTTATGCAAATAAATTAAGAGATATGATTAAAGAATTATAAGATTAAATGATTATGGTATAGGATAAATGTAAATAATAAATAGCATAAATGCAAAGAGGTAAATTTATGAATTATCTAATAGAACGTGATGAAGCTATTTAGAGATACAATATTGAAAATAGAAGATACAATTAAAATAGAGTTGTAATTGAATCCTAAAATAGGATATTATAAAAGATAAGACCAATAAGTTCAATTTAAAGAAAATCATGATTCAAATATTTATCAAAGTAATCTAATTAAAAAATATTTATATATTAGAATAGAATTCATTATTAAAATATTATTATTATATAATGGTCAAACAAATTTGATTTACTTTGCGTATACTTTTTTCTACAATTTCTAAATAAAAATTTTATCTCAAAATATTTACATAAAGTCTATGAGTATATTCATCATGAATTTTCTCTTTTTAAATTTATGTTTCAATACGTAATTTTTATTTACTTTTTTATTCTTATTATTTCATCATCTTAATTTAATCTGCTCTCTCAATCTTGGACTCAAATTTCTTCAATTTCTCAGTCTCTATTCTTCTTAATTATTTTTTTTGATATTTTATCCATCTATCATATGCTTCTTAGTCCAATTCTATTTTAGGTCTAAAAACTAAAAAATAATCACTTACCTCAGATGAATTGTATCACTTTCTAAGGATTTAAATCTATGTTCATTTTATTGATGCTTAACTGTAGATAATTGACTTTATTTCAATTTCTATATTTATCTATCAGTAATTAATGACATTCTTTCACAAGATTTCAAAACAAGCTCACTTTTTTGTAGTTCTTTTTCTCTAATTTATCTTTCATATAACAAGGCTTATGATATTTCTTTTTGTTATTTCTTCTTAAATAAAGATAAAGATTGAGAATCCATAATCTTTTACTATTATAATTATATTAATTACTAAATTGTATTGTATATAAAAATATATATGAAACAATATTTGGAAATTCATTTTAAATCTATTAAAATAATGAATAATTCCAAAAATAATTAAGTAACGAATATATTCATAACTAAAAGACTTTTCGATTGGTATTATAAATCATAATCAATAATATAAAAATTGTATAAGAAATTGAGTATTAATATAATATTTATAAATATTTATAAATATAAAAAATTCAAGTTTTTCATATGTCTATAATTATTGAAATTGAGCCTTTAGTTAAAATAATATTAAAAAATTGAGGATAATTGTGATGATCAAATTTATAAGAATATATATACTTTGATTAATGATATAAAAATATATTTAAAACAGAATAAATATAATACAATCTACTTCAATCAAGTAGTTCATCTAGATACTAGTTATTATTTCGATAACAATAATCACTGTCATAGTTAGAGTTAGAACAAAAGTTTTATAACTAAGGACGGGAGTCTTCATAGTTGGATAAGTACTCGAAGTGACAGGGATCTATATATTATAATTTATTGATACTTATTTGAGATTTGATTTCTGGTGTGTAATATTATTAGACTTCCATGGCATATGTTATGTTTTCAGCATCTAAATTTATTATCAAAAAAATTACTATTTCTCTTCTTGTTTTTCTTGATTCTCTTTTGCCCAGCTAATGTAAATGGATTAAATTTTTAATGGTGGGATCTTTAAATATAAATACTCTATACCTGCATTGCGATGGGGATCTAGTCCCGATTGTCATTGACATGAGTTTGAAGATTTTGTTATTTTTTCTATTTTATTGATTTTGCATAGTTGTATTTTGATGTTGTTAGAGGAACTCAACATAAATTTGATGTTCTTGATTAGACCAATGACCTTGATTTTTTTTTACATTTTAAGACTACTCTTTGCTGATTTTCTTTTTAGTGACTTAAGACTTCTTGCTTGTTTCCTATTCATAATAAGAAGACTATTTACGTTTAAAGTAAATGATAATTCACCCTAATTATTAGTTCCTTAACTGCTTAATGAGTCACTTAATTCATTTTATTTGGGAAATTAATTTTGAACAGGAAGAGAAGAAGTTTATGGTAGCAAGTGTAAGACACAGCTGTTCTCCATTTATAAGTATTAAAATTAATAATATATTTACCCTCTACACACTACCGTCATAAGCCGTATTATAATATATTAAATTTCATTCCCCCCCCCCCTTATAAATTGTAAATTTGTAAAATAATATATAAAATTATTTTACAATTTTTTAGGCTTCATGACAGTTGTTAGTTGAAAGTATTAGTATATAAGAATGGTTAAAATAAAATAGAATTTTAGTTTAATGTTTTAATTAGTAAATTAATTAATATTAAATGTTTTTCATCGGTTTTTTTATAGATAATTAATATAACTGATTATTAAATTAGTAACATTTTCTTAGGGAAATGATTTTATGAGTGTTTGAATTTAATGATTTAATAACATAAAATGATTAATTAATAAAATACTATATTAGGAATAGAATTTTATGATTTTTAATATAAAGGGAAAATTTTAATTATGAATTTAATCTATGTCATTATAATTTTAATTCATTGAGTTCCTCTTTATTGTAAGTAGAATTATAAAATTTTCCTATATATTTAAGATGATTTTTAACATCTTATATTTTTTCACTTATCATTAGATCATGAATTATTTAAAATCCTTAAAAGTAATTTCTTGATAATTCTGCTGCAGTTTCATCACTAAAGAGTTTAGTGAAATCTTGTCTTGAAAAGTTTTTTTTGTTCTCTCCATTTTTTAAGAATGACTTAATAGCTTAATTGTCAACATTTTTAGTACCTATAATTAGGAAAATGAGTGAAATAGAATACATAAATATTTTTTCAATAATACTCCAAAATTTTTAGGAATATTTTTAGTTTCTGATTTATATGCTTAATGTGTGTCTTTGTTCTTATGAATCTTCCCTTTCTTGTTTAAATTATTGATTTAAGAGGATTCTTAAAAATCTTCAGTTGATAATTATGAACGATAAACATCTTCTATTTTCACTTATGGTTCATCTTCAACCTTAATATCTTACTTTACATATTTTTTGAATGAAGAATTGGGATTGAAGTAATCTTTGGTGGAGAATTTATATTTTTGATTTTCTTGTTAAATCATTTTGAATTAATATTTGACAATAATATTTATAACATAAACAATTCTATGAATTCTAAATACTATATAAATAATAGAATCTTATATATATATATATAATATTTAAATATTGAAATCATATTCATTTCTAATCGCATAGCTATAATCCTTAAATTAATTCTTCTTAAATCTCTTGGGATAACTTTTCAATCATTTTAATATAATTTTCATGATCTTATTTAGAAATCTATTTCTTATTTTGTGTTTGATTTTTTAAAGCATTATTTTTTATTTATAATTCATGAAGTTCTTTTTTCTTTTGTTCAATCATTTTCATTAATTGTATTATTTATAAATTTTGTTCATTCTAAAAATTAAAAATAAAATTATCTTCGATTTTAATTTCTCTCTAAGAATTCTATTATGTCATAATTTAAGGTAGAGTATCAATAAAACTACCATTATCAATGCTGCAAACAGAATTACGTTTTCTAATCATACTACCTTTGGGACTTGAAAATGTTAATTAAGAATTTCCTAGCTTTTAGTCCAATAAGGTTTTAATTTATGTGATAGCTCAAATATAATGGAATAAATAAGATACATTTATAATCAGTTTTAGTTAGGATTTATTTTCCTATTGTTTTGTAATCAAAACCAAATTATCCAAATGATTTTAGACAACATTTTGCAACTACTATCAAATATTTTTAAATGACTTCAAAATTCATCTACTAAACAAATTCTAAAAATATAATATGAAAACAAGAGAAATTTAATCCTTTAATGAATAAACTTTATGTATTTGGAGTTGAAAAGAATTCCATAAATTTTTTAATTTAAGAAATTTAAGTTGAATCAATTTTGAAGGCTAATTGGAAATCTTAAACTAAAGTTTATAAATTTGGTTCTTATGTTGAAGTAGGCCAATATTCATTTGGCATTAATTCATATAATTATTCTAATAATTATAATGCAGCAAAGTCTTTCATTAATGTCAGTAAAACAATTGAAATTTATAATAATTCGCAAGAGTATCCCACTTCTGCATTTCTATATAAAAATACAACTAATAAATTCTCTATATCATCAAAAATTTAATTAACTTTCATTTTATTAGTTGAATGACAAATCCAATCCTAAAATGAATAATTAAACATTTCTTATGTTATGAAACACTAAATTATATTATGTAAAATTGATTACTTTTATTAAATCAGATTTAATTTATTCAAGATTCTATTTATAATTCTCATTAGCTTTGGCATTTTTAATTTACTATTTATATTACTCTTAATTTAAGGATTATTGATAAAGATCAATTTATAATTCTGTTTCCTTATTCCACGACAATTCTGACTGTTCTAATTACTCTTCCATATATAAACAATCAGTTTTGCATTGTAGACACACTTTTTCCTTTTTTAGTGGTTTCAACATGGAGGAAGAGATCTAGGAAGTAGAATGAAGTAGATGGCTACTTTGAATTCATTTTTATTGCAATCAAGACATACTACAAGTCCGCATCTTTTACATTTTGATTTGTTTTGTTTGATAAAGGAAAATTCTTTATTACATATGGAACACTGCTTATCCATTAATTAATATAATAATATTAAATACACAAAAGTTTGAAACATCAATCAAAATCTCAGTGATTTCTCGCTTTTGATTCCTCCAAACTTTTCATTCAATAATCCTTTTATTTTTACATAATCATTATAACTCCATGATTTCTTTTAATCTTATTCATTTAACATATTTAAAGCCTATAAAAAATAAATTATATATATATATTACTTAACTCCAAGTAACAAATCTACCTTTGATTCTTAATCTCTCTTCAGCAACCTTTTATCTAATATGATAATGAACTTTTTTTTCATAAGTACGATTATGTTTTTTATCTAAATATCTCTTAACTTTCTATTTCCTTGCCATTTCTTTAAGAGATTCATAATTAGTTTATGTACACAATTATTCAACCCAATCTTCAAATTTTAAAGTCTCTTCATCATTCAAAATTTCATCACATAATCCTACTTTGATTCTTAGTAGATCATCACCTTTTACATAATTTGAAATAAATTCATCTTGTTTTTAAGAAGGAGTAAAACGCATGTTCAATTCTACTAAATGATCATCAACATTTGAAGGAGCAGGCAAATTCTTAGGATAAGAATATTTTTTCTGATTATCTCTTTATAATTATTCTGCTAGTCTTTCTAAATCTCCCATTATTTGAACTTCTGATTATTCGACAATAGTGTTTTCTTACCAGATACATACTTTCTTTTTAGGATCTTCATCTAATATGAATTCATCAAAATTAACAGGGTTTGGCTTTTTTAATTGTAATAACTACTATGGTGAATAGACTTACAATTAAATATCATCCTACTATTATTCCTACTAGTTCATTTTAAACAGAATCATTACCATCTCTTTATCTACTATATAATGAGGCTCCTCATATGTAAATGAGTTCTCTTTCTCAATTTCAATATTCTCTTATTTATCACAAGACACTTCACTCAACTCTTTGACAGTATTCATTTCTTAAATAAAGAATTTTATTTTAGTTTATAAATCTTTTTATTTACTTCTAAATTATCAAACCCTTATGAGAGAAAATTCATATTGAAGATTGATAAAAATATATAATTGACATTTGATTCAAAAATAGTAATAGTATAAATTTAAATAAAATGTAAAATGAGTTCACATTAGTATTCTTTTTCATTAATATTAAAATTTTAAATCAATAAATTAAATAAGAAATGACAACACTTGGAGAAGAATTTCAAACTATTTTATAAGAAATAGATAAGTCTAGATTAGATACAAGTAATTTAGAAACAGCTTTATTGAAATTATTAACATTTGGTATATTTTAATCATGATAGAAAAAAGATTCAAAATCTGAAGAGCATTTGAAACACAAGGAGAGTTCATATAATAAATTGTCTTAATTGTATTGCAAATAAAACAAACCACAATTAGTATTTCAGATTATGAAAACCCATGATTTCTCTGGATTCAATCAAACAAGAGCTGCAAAAATTATGAGATAAATGATTGATCAAGTAGCATAATTAGAAGGCACAATTGAATTATAAGTTGAAATGTGTTAATTCTTAATTGATTAATGTGCAAGAGACAAGAAAAATTACTTAAAACATAAGATGTAAATAAGATTGGCAATATTATATAATGAATAAGAAAAATTCACTTAAGGAATTGAAATTATAGATAAGATTGTAGGTGAAGTAAGAAAAGCTGATGATAAACATTTACTATTGGAAATTTATCTTATTGAAAGTAAATTACATTTTGGATAAACAAATCTTGCTAAAGCCAAAGCATCATTAACAGCAGCTAGAGCATGTTCTAATACAATCTATTGTCCACCACATGTTTAAGCTGAAATTGATATGATGGCTGGTATTCTTTATGCAGAAGAAAGAGATTATAGAACTTCTTATTCCTATTTTTATGAGGCTTTTGAAGCATTCAATAATTTAGAAGATAAGAGAGCTCTAAGTACTCTTAAATATATGTTATTATGTAAAATTATGATTGGAGCTACTGATGAAGTCAAATAAATTTTAACTGGAAAATATGGTTTGAAATATGCAGGCAGAGTAATTATATATATATATATTAATATTAGCATTTAGAAGCAATGAAAGCCATTTCTAATAGTAATTAAAAGAAATCTCTTATTGAATTTACTAAAGTTTTAGATGAATATAAGGAAGAAATTGAAGGTGATAAAGTTATGAAATTACACATAAAATAGTTATATGAAGTCTTATTGGAAATGAATCTATTTTAAGTCATTTAACCATATTCTAAAGTTTAAATTGATTATATTACTGAAAGAATGTAAATTGATGTCGAAATTATCTAAAGAAAGTAAATTATTAATTAATCATTTTAGATTATCTGAATTAATTTTAGACAAGAAAATAGATGGAACATTAGATTAAGGAAATGATTGTTTGATATTGTTTGATACAATTAAACATGATAATTTATATTAACATTCCCTTAGTTTGATTAATAATTTGAATGGAGTGGTAGATAAACTATTTGATAGAGTAAAAGTCAAATGAAAAATATATATATTATTTAAGTAAATATGATTAATTACATTATTTCATTAAATAATTTGGTAAATTCTAATAAATTTTACATTTCAATTTATACCTAGATTCTATTTATTTTTTAATGATAAAAAGTTTTATATAATAATCATATCTATAATTAAATAATGAACTTTTATATTCAATTATAAATTACACAATATAAATTTACTTTATTATAATATAACCATTAAAAATTTAATAAAATTAAATAAATATTCAAAAAATAATTTAAGATACTCATTTATTCATATATGAAAATATTTTAAAAGATTTCGTTTAATAATATTTAAAAGTAATAATATTACTGAAGTGATAAAGAAATCAGTTTGAAAATAAATAAATTAATTCATGATTCATGATATTAGACATAAAATATTTGATAGAATTATCATTTTAAATCAATTTATGGCGAATTTAGATAAACTTTATTAGGTTTTGGCATGTAAATTTTTAGGTTTGGTATATATTTTCTTTGGAGTAAGAAGATATTTATTTAGTGTTATACTATATTCAGATTTGTATGGATGATGTGTTTTAATAGTTTTAATAATAGTTTATTTGGTTCTTTTTTAGTGTATATTTAGTTCATCTGGTTCAGTGATTTATTATCTACTAGTTTGAATTAATTAATTTAAGTTTTTATCTATTCGTGTCATTTATGTTTTAAGTTAACTTAAAAAGTATGTATTTGATTTTTTAGAATGTTAATATTATGAATATATAGATGATATTTTCTTGTTTTAGGAATTATCTTTGATTTCATCTTGTGAGCTAGGAGTTGATGTTTTTTATGGTGAATTATGACTGAAAGGAGAATTGAATTATTAATGATTACGAGAGTATATATGGAAGTTCTTGTATTTTTATTTAGATCTTAAATATTTATCTGTTGGTTTAAATGTATTTATAAGTAAATTGGCTAATCTTATTTTTCTATGCATGACTATTTCATATAATTAATTAGGTAATGTGATTTGTTTTATATTTGAACTAGAACAATGAGAACAATGACAACTATTTCTACGAATCTAATTTTGAGAAGGTATGTATGAGTTTTGATTAAACGAAATTGAATGAAAGGATCTGATCATCATAAAATATTAATAATAATATATATAGTTTACAAGTAATTGTTATCATCCACACATAAATTATTTCGTACCAATAAGTTTAGCACATTTGGAACACTTATGTTTAGCATCTTTACAATTATCAAGTAAGCATGGAAGGAAAGCCAAAATAGCTGTAATTAAACCAGCAATTAGGATAATCATTACAATATAACTACATCTACCCATTTCATATTAAACATCAGATTCTACAACTTGATTACATTAAGTGCAAAGTAATTTTTCTGTTTTTCTTGATTATGGTACTTTTGGATATTCTGTTTCCTTTTCAATAAGTTTATTTCTCACAGAAAGTTCGATTTAACTAGATTTTACCAATTAATAAGTTCCCTAAGACTGTCCACTTATGGTTTGTTAATTGTTCTAATCGGATTCAATCATAGGATTCGAAATCATATTTGATTATTAATTATTTTATATATAGATTATCTAATGTAATTGAAAAGTGAAAAATGTAGTATTTTAATCTTTATCTTTATTATTTATTTGTTTTTCTCAATTACTAAATCTTTTTCATTTATTGATTATAAACTTAAGTATCAATTGACTTAAATGACATACCTTTATTTCTATAAGCAATAAAATTATAGTAATTAATATTTTTTAATTTTCATATCTTTAATAGTTTTACAACCCATTTCCTATACTAATAAGATATTAAATACGTGATCATCTTCTAATATAAGTAAATAATTCTAATTATTAACTTAATCTGATTCTTTTTCTTTTTTTGAAATAAAATTAAAATTTTAATTATATTTGTAAATTCTGAGTTACTTTATAAAGTAATTTTTTATTATTCTAAATTATTCAATATTCTAAACATTACAAAAAAGAAGGTTGATTGATGTATATATGTTTTAATAAATTTCAATATATATACATTGTCTTTTAAATTATTAGAAGAAAATAAAAGATAATAATTCAAATTCTAATTATTTATTGAAACAAATATGTTTATTTAATAAAATTATTTTATTTTAATGAATTTTGAGATAGTGTATCTAAAAAGATTTTGTAAAAAACTATACATTTTATACAACACTAACATTATTGATAATAATTAAATCATTCCCAATGATCAGCATATGAATTGCATTTTTTACATTGTTTATCTTTATATGTATGTCCAATCATAGAATTACATACTGTTTTATGCAACTTCTCTGTTTCTATTTTTTCACATTTATCATTGTTCTCATAACATACAAAAACTTTTCCTTAATGATTCACATACTCTCCATTGCATTCTTTGATACTTCTACTACTACAGTCAATCTCCTAACATTAATCATTTTCATATTAACATCCTCCTTATTAACATACATCCTTATCTTTGATAGATTTACAGTTATCAATAAATGAATTTCTAGCCTTGCATTTTCTATCCCAATAACAAATTGAATCTATTTCTAATGGATTACTTTTAGCAATCAAAAAACTATCACATGTAAATTGATCATAAATATCATTACACTTCTCTGGTTTGAAACAATATCCACTCACAAGATCATAAGCACATTAATATAATTAACATTATTCTCTAGCCTATCCAATATTATTTTAATTTATTTGAATATCATCACATTTATTCAATTTCTCACATTTTCCATTCTTAATGAAACAATAATGAGGATTTTAACTTAAGAATTAAGATGCAATTATGCAATTCTATAATGATCTTTCATTACATTCAGCAATTCTGCATTCTGACTCTGCCCAAAAACAATTATGACTTTCACAACTATCTTAATCTATATGTTCTTAGCAATCACATGCTGTTGGATAATCAAGTGCTCCTTTTATACAATACAGAAATCCAAATATATAATAAATTATCATTAATTATAATCAAATTTCTCTTTCAAAAATCTTCTATTTCATATTGTCAAATTGATATTCAAATAAGTTCTCTTTATTTATAAGAATAATTGTAAAATATCAAAATTTTTATAAAACATTCCTAAAATCATACTCATTACATTTATTCATTAATTCTTAAAAAATAAAGTTAAAATTCTTAAGTTACCACCAATATTTTGATCATTATATTTCAATTTCTAAACAAACTTTAATAACAATTATCTAAATGAAATTATATTCACCTAAAACATTATTAAAGAAATATTTTAAAATATATAATCCCACTAAAAAAGTAATTAAATACATTCTATAATATATAAATTTCATGATTTATTTGTATGTTAATGATAAATGAATTATTAATAAAGACTATTTAATATTTAGCATCAAAAAGAGTTATATGTATTACTAATTTTCACATTTTATATCTCTCTATTAATTGATAATAAGATAGTTTTTTAGTTCTTTAGCTAAAATAATATGATTCATTTATTTATTTATCTTCATTCCATTTATTAATTTATTAAAATTCTGATCGTTATGGATTAGGAAATAAAAAAGCTTGAATAACTAAAATAATAAGAAATTTTGTTGATGTAATAGATTTATGAAAAGAAAGTATTGTAAATGTTATGAAATAGATTAATTACTTGAATATAAAAATATAATTATTAACAGAAGAATCAAAATAAAAAGATATTGAATTAACAAATCTAAAAAATGCATCCTTAGACAATTTTATTGAATATTAAGTTAAAACTGAAGAGTTTCCAAATCTTGAAATTTTAAAATAAAAATTGAATGATGAAAAGGATAAAGAATTATAGAAGTTAAAAACTCAGTATTAAAATGATTTATAAAATATTCATCAACAAATGAGAAATAGGGATTTGATGATAGAATAAATGAAATAAGAGATTAAAATGTTTGAACAATTCTCGCAATAAAACCTTGACCATTAAAAAGTACAATTCCTATCTTAAATAATTGATGTTACTAATGAATTATTAGTTTAATTATGATTTCAAATATGAAATAAAAATAATTATTGTGTGATATTAAAAATAGTTTATGAAATGAAATATGAATTAATATATTTAGAATATAAAAAAATTGATCAGAGTCTGCTAAAAATAGAATTTATATATTTAATGAATAACAGATAATTACAAATATAAAAATATCTAAATTAAATGTAATACATTTTACTATTTCTAATTTTTGAAGTAGTCTTTGTAACAGCTTAGTTATGCACTGAATCAAACCCAATCTTAAACAATATATACAAAGCAAATAATCCTGATATTTAAAAAAAAGAATGGAATTATCAGTCAATAACATGTATTAATTAATAATCTAAATTTAGCATTTGATCAGTGTAAATAAGGAATAACATCAGATACTAAAAATTTTGATGTGTCTTAAGTGTCTTTATTAAATCCTAAAATCAGTTTAGATGTTGAAGAGATGATTTAGTTAGTGATGGATAATGCTTCAGGACCATTGGCTTAATATAAGACAGATTAAATCAAATTGACATCCTGGGGAGCCACTAATATTGCAAGATATCAATCTGTGTATTTCACAATTGGAAAGGCAGAACATAATTTCGATTTTTGGTCAAAAGCTCCTGATGCTGAAATTCAAGTGTATTTCATTTAGGATTAAATCTATCAATAATGTTAAAATGAACCTCTTTATGCTGTATTATCAATCCCAATCTATGGACTTACAGAGATATAAGATATCAGATATACAATAAATATGAATGTCTCAACAAATCTAGATTAAATTAAAGATTTCAATTTCAAATAGAATATACTTGGTGCATATCATTCTGATATGACTAGTTTTGTGTCTTATAAGGCACCACTCAATATTCCGTAAAGATTTAATTATATGTAATCATAGGCCATGTGAAAATACTAATTGGTTTGTATTGACATAGCCTTAATTCATTAAATAAATATTGTTATAAAGTTTACTGGGTTTAAATGCAGTAAATACCTTATAAAGAACTTAGTTGGATGGCACATTTTTGAATTTCATAAAAGGAGTAAGATTAATTTATAATTCTTTTTAGAGATTCATTTATGAAGGAGAAGATGATATGAAAGATTATGATGATACTGTAGAATGGGCTGCTACATGGGTTGCCTCTATAATTCCATGCTTATTTTTTGCATTGATTGTTTGTGTCTATGGTTAATATGAACTTTCAAATATTGGAAGATTTAAGAGACCTGATGTTAAATAACATGAAGGAGTTGAATAAGAAGCATTACATCAAGATGATGCTATAGAAAATAAACTTGCATGACATTATTTTTAATTTATTGTCAAATTTACCAATATTTATTTTTTATTACAAATCCCTCAACACTTATGGATTAATCAAAGAAGACTCTCGTCAACCCAGAGACTAATGTTTATAACTTGAGTGGAAAGACTCTACCAAAAACATCAGTTTTTGTTGCCAAAATTTATTTGAAGAGATTTGATGTTGTGGAGGTACATGCATTAGGAGAAACAATCTCAAAGGCAGTAAGAATGGCTGGATAACTTTAAAGATAGAGTATCTTTTATAAAATTACTCTTAGATTATGTGACAATTGAGAAAATCAATACATTCACTTAGAAATTCGATGATGATAGATCTAAAGCCAAGATTGTTATTACCTTAAAAGTGACTGCTGACGGAAAAAAGAGAGTCATTGAAGAGATTAAATAATGATAATCATATCAATATATAAATAAAAGTCTATTTGTTTTCTTTTCTTATTTTTGAGATTTAGTGAAATAAATGATTATTAATTAAAATGGAGATAAAGTATTTAGATAAGATAGAAGATCATATCAAAAAAGAGTTTCTAATTGAAAAATATATTGGTGAAGGATCTTATGGTATAGTATGGAGAATAAAAGATCCTAAAACATAAAAAAAATATGCTCTAAAAAAAGTATAAAATCTCTAATTTGTATAAGATTTTTGGAGCATTTAGAAATTGTACTGATGCTAAAAGAACTGTTAGAGAAGTGAGTTTTCTTAGTTAATTATCTCATCATGATAATATAATAAAATTAGAAAAGGTTATCAAATCATAAAATAAGACTGATCTTTATTTAGTATTTGAATATGTAGAATCAGATCTTCATAAAGTATTCATTCATAATATCTAGGTAATCCAATAAAAAATATTATAACCTATCCATCAGAAATATATAATTTACTAAATACTTCTAGTTCTTCAATATCTTCATTCTGGAGAATTAATACATAGGGATCTAAAGCCAGCAAACTTGTTAATAAAAAAGTCTTGCATTATTAAGTTAGCAGACTTTGGTTTGGCTCGCTGTGTTTAAGATATGGATGAGAGTATTTTTTTTAAATTACTAAATCTTTAAAGCAATTCCTGTTTATACAGAATATGCTGCTACTAGATCATATCAAGCACCAGAAATCCTCTTTGGTTCTTAAAATTATTCCTATGCTGTTGATATGTGGAGTGTAGGCTGTATATTATTTGAGATGCTGACTGGCTAAGTCATGTACAATAAGGAAACTAAATAGGATTAAATTTAAAGCATTTTTGAATTTCTAGGAACACCTAATGATTAAGATATTGAATCGTTTTAACTAAAAAATCCTGAACATCTTCGATTCTAGATATAATTAAATTAAACTAAGTAAACTTTTAGGATGCATTAAATACTTGATTCTTACGATCCGAATGCCAAAGATTTTATAAAGTATTATTAATATTGTGATTCTTTCTAGAAATTGCATGAAATATAATCCTTAATAAAGAATGACTGCTTAATAAGCTTTAGAACATCCTTATGTTTAAGAATTTAAGGGACATTTTAAATAAAAATTAAGTGGTAATTATTTATATATATAAAATAAAGATTTTAAATTTATATCTTTAGAGAATGATGAATAATTGTATTCAGTAGAAGAATATTAAGATATTCTTAATAAGTTTATACAATTTAGAGATGGAGATATCTAAAAGTTCATAAGATAATATAACCAAAATTTATTAACTAAATAAAATAATAGAACTATCATATAAAGTCCAATTAAAACTTTCTCTAACAATGATAAAATAACTTAAGCACATTTAAAGACTTAAACAAATAAATTTGGCCCACGTATTTAAACTGAGAAGACATAATTTGAAAAAAATATAACTCTACAAGAATTTTAATCTTGCGATGCAATAAATCCTCTTAGCGAAAATTAAAAATAATAATTTCATTAACCTATAGATTGTAATGATACTAAAAAAATGAGTTCAATAAACTAAAGAAAAAATTCATAGGAATTTTTTGATTTGGCTAGAAAATTGTCACTATAAACAAATTGTTCTTAATTTTCAATTTCTGAAAACTAAAACACATTAATAAAATAATCAGGTTAATAAAAGATTGAAAAGTTTAAAGAGAAGAAAAATCTTGAATGATTTTAAAAATCTATAAAAAAAATTTCGCAAAACATTATTCAATTTATTCTTATGAATTTAACATAATTAGAGTCCATATTTTCATCACTAAATTCTCTCAAACAATTTCCTTATAATGTAATATTAACTAAATACACAATTTTTGTGATCATTATAAACTTGAATGGGATAAAGAAATTTTAAGAGTATTAAATTGATGCTTAGAATTTTTAGATTCATAATAATAAACCATTAAATGTAGATCATCTAATATAAATAATGTTCTTGGTGTTAAATAAAAAAGACATCATAATAAAGTCTAGAAGAAAGTCTCAATTTTAGAGGCTTAAGGATTATAGAATGATAATCTTAAAGAAGTTTGTTTGACTAATCAATTCTTTTATCGAAATTTCAGCGATAAAAATATTCATTATCAAATCATTAAATTGAAAATATGATTTGGTCATTCATTCTCAATATATATGAAGCTAATCGTTTATAACTTAAAAGATTATAAAGATTGCATAGAAGTAAAATATGTACAAGAGGAAAATGTTGTAGATGTTCTGGACCAGGAGGAAAATGTAATTGTGAATTACTCTAGGAAATTTTATAACAAATTACTTGTTATATTAAACATATTTTTATGGCTTAAAAAACTATTGAACATAGAAGAAATAATGATATCTACATTAAATGAAATTTAATCAAACTATTATTTACTAATTTATAATATTTACCTAAAGAATATCCTTTTTTTTTTGTATGTTGAATAAGTAGTTGTTCTATTAAAAATTATTAAATTAGATTGTTTAGATTAGCTTTTTAAATAAAATCTGATTGATGAATTTGTTATTTCTGTTTTAGGGAAATGTCCATTTACAGAAACAAGTTTATTGCTAAAACTATATGATTTTAACTTATAATATGATACAAAAATCTTTAATGTTTGACTTTAAAATCATTCCAAAGTTACTCAACTTAAAATATACATTTATTCGAAATGTTTTTTTTAACATTATTTTACTTAGCCAATACATTAAATCAAACTATTTATAATTGTTTAGAAATAGATAAATTTTAAACAGAGGGTTAATAAATTAGTCATTTTGATTATTATGATTTATTCTATTTTAATGTAAAATGTCCATTAGTGTGGAAAATATCTTTGGATAAAAATGCTTAAACCTCAGATGATTTGGAAACTTTTAAAGTTTTCAATTTGAAGATGGTCGTCATGAATCCATCGCCATAGATGCCTTCAGATCAAATTCTGTAGGTATGTAAAATCATGTTAAAAAATATGGATGAATAGAAAATTCAAAAGCAAAATTCAGGAATGGAAAGAAGTTTACGTTAGAGATAGGATCTGATATATTGTGAGAAGGAATTAGAATAAAAAGCTTAAAAACTTCAGTTACTACAGCAACGACTCCTTTAATTGATTCTTCTAAAAATTTAGCTGATTAACAGTAAATTATGTAAGAATCAGTTTATTTTACATAAATACCCTTATAATAAATAATGCAAGAATCTGTATATTTTATACCTCCCAAATAATAAATGTGAGAATCAGTTTATTTTCCTTAATAAGATAAGTAAGAGTAAAAGTTGTGAGGATCTGTTTATATTTCTAATCAAATGTAAGGTTCAGTGGTTTTTAATGAACATTAAAACTAATAAATGCAAGAACCAGTAATGTAATAGGATCCAAAAAATAAAATTTTTGGTCAATCAGAAATGGTAGGATAATCAGTAATGATGGGTTAATCTACATTTATTAATAATAATAATAATAATAATAATAATAATAATAATAATAATAATAATAATAATAATAATAATAATAATAATAATAATAATAATAATAATAATAATAATAATAATAATAATAATAATAATAATAATAATAATAATAATAATAATAATAATAATAATAATAATAATAATAATAATAATAATAATAATAATAATAATAATAATAATAATAATAATAATAATAATAATAATAATAATAATAATAATAATAATAATAATAATAATAATAATAATAATAATAATAATAATAATAATAATAATAATAATAATAATAATAATAATAATAATAATAATAATAATAATAATAATAATAATAATAATAATAATAATAATAATAATAATAATAATAATAATAATAATAATAATAATAATAATAATAATAATAATAATAATAATAATAATAATAATAATAATAATAATAATAATAATAATAATAATAATAATAATAATAATAATAATAATAATAATAATAATAATAATAATAATAATAATAATAATAATAATAATAATAATAATAATAATAATAATAATAATAATAATAATAATAATAATAATAATAATAATAATAATAATAATAATAATAATAATAATAATAATAATAATAATAATAATAATAATAATATAATAATAATAATAATAATAATATAATAATAATAATAATAATAATAATAATAATAATAATAATATTAATAACTATTATATTAAGAAACCAAATATTAAAAATAATTATTAAGATCTCCTAAGATAATCAATAAATATAGAATAAATAATTGAAGAAGTATCATAGGTTAAAAAAAAATAATAGAAAAGTGTAAAATTACAAGTATCTTTTTAAGAATAAGATGATTAAAAGAAAGGAGAAATTTAAAATAGAACTCCAACAAGATAAAAAAGAATTAAACTAATTTCATCTATTGAATAATCCTCTTTACATAGTGTTATAAATAATCCATTTATTGTAAATATCAGTCATTACATGAAGATAAAGTCTGAGCAATTTCATAAAGTAAGTATAGAAATATAATCGATATAAATAATAAATTTGATTGGTGCAACTTTTTAGTAGAAGTTAGGATAATTAATATACTTTGTAATAAAATGAGAATAAAAAAGGCTATGGTATATTATATTGGAGACAAGTAAACCTTTTAAATTTTAGAAGTTAATGAATAAGATGGAAGTTTAACATTTGCATTTGACAAGAAATTAATAGATAAGAAATAAGTTAATTTAAAAATTGGTGAAACTTGGTGTATAGAAAGAGATTTAAAGAGAACTTATTATTAATTTATAGGATATCCAATCCATCAATTAGTATCATAAATTCATTGCATAATTTCTTATGTTTTTAAAGGATTGAGTAAGAAAATTTATTATTGATGATTAAAATTCAAAAAATTGTACTTGGTTAAGGCTAAGCGATAAGAAATTACTAAGTGAACCTCAGTTGTTATTGAGAAACAGTAAATTTAATTTGGCTTTTGAGATACAATATGAAGTGATTGATGATTATTATTAAAATAATTAATGAATAATAAAGAAAAATAAAGCATATGGATATAAAAGGAAGGCCATGAAAACCTTGAAAACAGTATATTAGTTAATGTCAATACGGGAGAAAATAGTTAACCTACATCTCGAATAAAAAGCAAGAAAAATTAGAATAAGTAAGCATGCCATTGTGGCATTTTTTGATAGACAAAGTTTCTTAAAACTGATTTTAAATGATATTATCTTCATGAACTGTATTATTGATATATTAATAATTCTATGATCTTTATTGAGATGAGATTCAAATGTGTTAAGAACTTGAGAATGCTTTAATCTCACTAATAATATTTTCTAATCATTTTAAATCTTTTAATATATATTATAACATTTGTAATTTAAAATCCTTTGAAATTCAATCGGTTGCTTGGAATTTTCTATTTAATTAATCATGCATAATTTTCTTTCATTTTTAAGAATCCAAACAAACTAACAACACCTATATATATTTATGTTATTGATGTATAAATGATTCATTTTTTTCAAAGAGATCATTGCAGAAACTTAAATAGTTTGATATTTGTCATTAAAATTGTTTGATTATTCTTGTATATTTAACATCATCAACAATTAATTTAATAAAAAAATTAAATAATAAGAAAGCTACAAATTATATTTAAGATAAGTAAATATATTAATCAGAATTATACATATACATCTATATGACTTTAATTTTTATTCTTTTATTTAAAAAAATCAGCATTATTAATTTGATTTAATTTAGAGAAAGAATAACAAATTTTTAGCAAATTTATTGGCTATGTTTTACTATTAAATTATTCTCTGGTCTGATTTTAATAAATAAAATGATTTCAAATTCTATTTAAGTACACTACTTTTTATGTTATTTTTTATCATAACAAAGGTCTCCCACTTTATTTTCATTCTTAATAAATTGATAATTATGAATATTGAGAGTTCATTATTCTAGTTATTTAAAAATATAATACATAATTAATGTTCTCCCTTACATTTAGTTCTTCTAAACTCATAATTTATATTAGGTTAATATAATCATATAATATAAATATTTCTTTAAATTTTTCCTAGAAATCGATTTATTCACTATTGTCTTTGTGGCAATTTTGTGTTCTCAATAAATATAATCCTCTTTTTCTTTTTTTATCTTTTTATAAACTTTGATTAATTTAAAAAATGGATAAAACAGAGTTTGTTTCAGTTCCTTTTGAGTCATGATTTTTTTATTAGTAAATTCAATTTTTGCTTTTTATTTATTTTTTTGACCATTTAACATGATTAATTTAATACATATTTAATTCCTTAATCCATGTAAGGTATCAATAAACAGTAGCCAATTTTTAACACAATTAAATTGTATTTAAATAAAGGTTTTGACACATAATTCAGCTCCTAACAAATTATCAAAGGGTATGATTTTAGAATTTTGATAAAACAGTTAACTTAATTTCCGAAATAATTAATATTTTAATTAATTTTAATCATAGAAAAAAATGAAAAGTGACTCTAAATAAAATAATTAATTCAAACTACTAGCTTATGCCTGTGGAATAGATTCAGGTTTAGAAGATTATCCATATGCATTATTTGTTAGTTGTGTTTCAGAATATGTCGAATTGTATGTAAAGATTAAATATACGAAATGACTAATAACTTTAAATTATTTCTTCTTAGAATTCTTTCTTATTACTTAATTGTGTATAATTAATTTATCATTAAATTGGTTTATTAGTTTCAACATTCAAATTAAGGTCCGTTTGAAAAAATTGAAATAGAAACTTAAAGGATTTCTTTTTATTTATATACAAGATCTTTAATTAGGACTTTAAAATTAAGTATTGGTAGAATTTCATAATCAAATATATTAAGTTTAAACAGGTACAAGAGATTGAGATCAAAATTTGGTGTATTTTAATTATAATTTAATTATTTTAGAAATTAGGATAAATGATAAAAAGAAACTTTGACTTTTTTTTTTAAGAGAATAAGAGTAATAATGATATTTGAATAAATAGAAAAATATAAGTGTAATTTGTTAATTTATGCTCATAAATTTTATGAAGAATATTAAGTTTAATAAATTTATATGAATTATAAAAAATATTATTTTTAAATATGATTGGAACTGAATTTAAGATTGTTGATGGTTACGTGGTTACAGGGAAATTCTTGGGATCAGTATTAAATATGTTTATTAGGGTGCTTTTGGTTCTGTTTATAGAGGATATAAAGAGAATGATCCAAAACAAATTTGTGCTGTCAAAGTATTGCCTATGATTGAAGCTACAAATAATAAAAATTTCATGAAAACAATCAAAAGAGAAATAGAAATATTAGGAAAAATAAAGAGCTAATATATTGTTTAGTAATAATCATATATAGATATTAAGAATGTATCATGCAGCAAGAACGGCACGCAATTTTTACATATTTTTAGAATATTGTAATGGAGGTAATCTAAGAGAATTGATGAAGCAGAAAGGAGGATATTTATCAGAATAAGATGCTCTAACATACTTTAAGTAGATTGTAGAGGGTTTTAAAGCAATTTATTAAGAAAATGTGATGCATAGAGATATTAAACCAGCAAATATTTTATTACACAATGGTAATAACATAATATTCATTTAATAGGTGTTGCTAAGATAAGTGACTTTGGATTTGCAAGAATAGTTGATGATATGGAAGGATAAGACAGATTTACACTATTGGGTACACCTTTGTATATGACACCCTAAATTTTGGAATAAAGCAAATTCAATTCTAAATGTGATATATGGTCTTTAGGAATTATGTTTTATGAAATGCTTTATGGACATACTCCTTGGACTGCTAATAGTTAATTATCTCTATTGGATTAGATTAAGAAGAAACCTTTAGTGTTTCCTGAATAACCAAAGAGATAATAAATTATTAAGGATTTAATATCTTAAATGTTGCTGATTGATGAGGAGAAAAGAATAAGTTGGTATGATATTTTTGAACATCAATTAATAAAGAGCAATAGTTAAGAATTGAAGAATAAATTGAATTTAATTATAGATAGTGTATAAGACACTCTTGAATAATCTGTATAAGTCAATAGATTTTATATTGATAATAATCTTGTTTTGGAATAAGGAAAGCAGTAATAGGAATTATTTGAAGTTAAGGAAAGTGATGAAGCAAATACTTCAGCAGATAAGGATATTGGATAATAAACTTTTGAAGATTTAAAAGGGTTGACTTATAATGACATTATGGAAGTTTAGACTAAGAAATTATAGGAATAAATTACCAATAATAAAATAGATGCTTATTTAACACTTTAAAGAAATATTGGAATATTTGTGAATCTATCAACAAATTATATTTTTGATTTGTATAAAGAGTAACTTATCAGTATTCCTACGCATTTATTTTATAGAATTCTTTTTATTCTTTAGAAAAAGTAGATGATTATTTTTGAAGATCTTACAAATATCATGGCCAGCAAGGTACTCAAACTATAATAATCTATAGATTTAAATTAATAATGGTTTTACCGACTAAGATTGGAAACTTTATAAAAAAAATAAATAATATTTTACAACACTTAAGGCCATAAAAACAGATAAATATTATATTAAACCATATTATGAAGAAATAGCAAAAAGAACATAAACATATTTAAATAATTAAATAACATAAAATAAATTAAATGAATAAGAGTAATAGGATTTAAATGAATTCATATCAATTATGGCTAATGGTTTAATTTAAGATTTAGCATTTAATTCAGTCTATGAAAAGACATTAAAAATAACATAAAAATTAATGTATGAATAATTATGCTAATAAAAAAAACTAACAGAAAATAAGAATTTTTTATTGGCACTTAGATATTTAGTCTTATGTTTAAGTCCTGAAATGTATTTTAGATAATAAAAAGAATTTCCAGATTTTAATAAATTTTATGAGCATTATAATAATTTAGAAATGGAACAGCTCATAGAGGAACTTCATAAAGAGTTCTCTTCATTTTGATGAAGATTGATATTATTAATAATAATAATAATATATCATCCAATAATATAATATAAATTGTTAAAATAAATATAATAATAAAATTCATATAATTCATTTATATTAATATAATAGTTAATAGTATTTCATCATCTTTTTTATCATTAATTTCTGATTAAAAATTATTCAATATATAAATTATTTAATTAATATATTTATATAAATTCTACAAAAATACTGTTGTAGAAAAGAACATTTATTTGTAATTATAAATAGAAGACAAATGATAAAAAATCATTTAAATGAGACAGAAGAAAAAGTATATCAAATTTGAACTCTAAATATTTGATAGCTATCAAATAAAAATGTTATTTATAACATACAGAATAGATTTTTTTGGAAATCTATAAAAAACATAAATTAACTTAAGTTCTGAAAATTCTCAATTTAAATGAATAAAGTAATTAGAGATTTAATGTATGTTATGATAATGGATTTGGTAAGTTGCTGATTATTTAGCTTTAAAGGAATTGATGGATTGTCTGGCTTAAATTTTTTTCATCAAGATTTATAACTAGAGAATTTTGTAATTCATCTAAATGAGAATAAAAGAAAGTCACTAAATCTGAAAAATATGAAAATAGATATTTTGTGAAAATTTTTTAAAATTTTGCAAATTAATTCTAAATATTTATTAATTATTCCAAAATAACATAATAATAACTAGTATGATAAAAAATATTGATATTTGGACTTTATGTTTAATTTTATTGCATTTGAAGAATACCCTTCATATTAATAGATATCTATTAAGATGAGCTATTTTGAATCAATTTAATAATTTAATTTATAAATAATTGATATTCTGAATACATCAATTAATAATGAAAAAAGGGTATTAAGATTTTAAGAAGAATAAAAGTTCAAATTAAGTTAATAAATAAAAAGTTTTATTTGTTTAATAGGTATTTATAAAAATTAAGGCTTTTAAATATTAGTCAATGAATATAACTATTAATAATGAGTTATTGGATTTTCTCAAAAAAGCTAGGTTTTAATCTATTGAGTTTTTAAACTCTCTTGTAAAATGAAGAGATTATAAAAATTTGTAATACTTATATTTGATCAAGTAATAAGATATGCTTTTGAGTGATTAGATATTTTGAGGAGAGAGTATAAATTCATTTATCTTATAAAATCTAAGTAATTCTACTCCTCTTATCTAAATAAGTAAATAGAGATAAGAAACTAAGATTGTAGTCAAAAGGAGTTAAAAATATGTTTTTGTTGATACAAAGATGAATCTTATTTGAATCGATGTCCATTAACCGCAATGAATAATGCAATTTTATATTTAATATAATTAAAATCTACATACAATGGATATGCATCCGATCATTTCTACATCAAAATAAAAAGCTATTAAGTATAAAATAATTTTCATAAATTGAGTTGCTGTTGTTGGAGATAAGGGAGTAGGTAAACATTAATTAATTGAAAAAATGCTGGATGTTGAAACTAAAGTAAATGATAGAGATATTATGTCAATTGATTTTTTTATATCATATATATGGATAGGAGATTGCTAATATCAAACAATTCATTATTGGGTGGTCTCTTTAGATTCAAATAAATAACAGTATGTATTAATAAATAAGTAAGGTTTAACTCCATTCCATTTATTCCTTAAAGTGACATATATGTTATTATGTTCAGTTTACACTAAAACAGAAGTTTATTCAATGCTCTTCATGTTTGGTTTTAATTAAGTTCCTAAAAAAGAAATGTTTAATATATATTTTTAGGATCTGATAATGGACAATTAAGATAATGTGGTTCATTTAATGAGATAATAAAAATCATAAGGAATAAAATGATTAGATCTTCTCCTAACTTAGAAGAAATTTAAAATGAATCAAGTTTAAAAGAAATTAGAAAAACTATAGCATATGTTGATGATTTCATTGATGAATCACTACCAGAAAATGTTCAATATTTAGAAATCAAAGATTATGAACATTAGCCATTCAAAGGAGTTTTAATTAATTCAATTTAAAATGTTATTAGTAATGAAAGATAAAAATTGTATTCAATAAGTGCACCCATATCTCCAAATATAATGCCTTAATTATAAAAATCTGTATCTGAATATTTACAGAAAACAGAGTATAATGAAAATAGATCACATGATTCAATGAATATTAAAGAAAAAAGAAATACAGAAATAGTTCAAACAATAAAAATAGACTATTCATTAAATATTTAACCTATTTAAACAACTATGAATCCTAGTCTTTTAACTTTAGAATAGAGCAGCTGTTCTTAATAAGCCAAAAAAGAAACTGGATTTTGTTGCTAATTAATATGATGTAATAAATGAACTGACTGATTATACAATATGTTTCAATTGTAACAAATTATTAAAATTATTTTTATAATGGAGTAAGATAGTATCACTATTCTTTCATAATCTAAGGAAAGAAGGATTAAGTATTTATTAATAATCATTCAGAGTTATTTTAATTGGAGATTAAAGTGTAGGTAAAAGTAAACTTCTTGAATAATTACTAAATGTTGAATCTAAAGTTAATGACAAAGAAATCTAAACTGTAGATTTTTTCATTTCTCGTGTTATTTTACCTGATAATTCAGAATAGAAAATATTTATTTGGGTTACAACAGGAGAAATCAAAAATATGTAAAAATATGAACTAATTATAATCATCATAGAAATCTTATTAGAGCATTTTTATTAAAGAGTCATATATATGTTATTGCATTTTCTCTTAATAATCCAGTTTCATTTGAGAATGCAGTTAATACTTGGTTTGCTTAGTGTTATAAAAATGCAAGAGAAACAAATAACTATTATTATTTCATTGGTACAATGAGTGATAAAGAACATCTTTGTGGATCTTATTAAGAGATTATTTAAATTATTGCAGACAAGTGTTAAGAACTTAAAATGGAGAAAAATGCATAGTAAGTACCATTTCCTACAGATAAAGCATATATAAGATAATCAGCTAAATGGAATGATGACAATATCATTGAATTTGCAAAAAATAAATTACCAAATAATGTGTAAATATTTTATAAGTATTAATTAGATTTTACTCTGAAACATCAGCTGTTGTAAAAACAGGTATTGAAAGAAGTTCAAGCATATTTATTAGATTATTGTAAGCAGCTGTTAAGTAGGAATTTGCTAAAGATGGTATAGAACCTATTATTGCTCCATCAAGAACAGCTTCAAGATTTTCTATGGCATAAATGTAAGTGCCAATACCTGTCGCTGTTCCAACGTCATCTACAAGATAATCAACTTAGACTGGCAATTTATAAGTTAATATGGCAAAAGAATCTGTTCCATTTTTACCTTTTGAATAAAAAGAATCAAATATGTCTTCGATGGCTGAAATAAAAAAGGAATAAAATCTATGTTGTATGATTTAATGAAATATATATATTTAAATTTTTTAACTAATTTCTAAATCAAAGTGATAAATTTTAGGATTAAATTATATAATTTGATAAAATATACAAATAATATATATAACTTAATTTTGATGTATCATTAAAATAAAAAATTTTAATTTCAATTAAAATTATTATTATTATTTGATAAAATTAAATGGATTCTATTGATGACCTCACTTGCAAATTAGGCTCTCCTAATTCCGATTAATAAACTAACGATACATTAAGCCCTATCAATCTAAGAACAAGTGATATATTCATTGATTTAAAAAAATCAATTGACAACAATAATAAACTTCTTTTTGCATTTAAAGATTAAGTTTATTATTTATATCAAATAATGAGAAATATGACAATAAAAGAAAATTATAGTTATTAGATAGCATCAATAATATTTTTGAGTGAGTATTAAGATAATTCTTCATAAAAATTAGAGAATGTTAAATAAATACTTTAAGAGTGTACTAATTTAAATCTAAAAACCTACTTTATAATATTAAATAATAATAATCGTAAACCAATTATAAAAGAACTTAGATAATTGGTTGAATAATTTCCATGTAGTTTAAGTATATGTGATACTGAGATTCATAATGTAGACCATGAGTTAGAAATGATTACAAAAGAATTAAGAATAGGATCTTTTGATACAAGAATATTTGTTCACATTTCAACAAATAAAGCAATGAATACTTATCTTAATAGTCTAATAACTTCTTTGTAAAAATTTGAAAAAAGTTTGACTAAAAATGATAAAGTTTATTGGTCTTCATGTAAAACAAATTAAAAGTTTACTGCCGTTGAAATTTAAGAAGCTGATTAATAAGATGATAAGAAGATAGGAAAGAGAAATAAAAGAAAAGTAATATTATATGGTTTTGCCTTTTTAGTAATTCTAACAATAATATGTTATTTATTATATGTTGTAATTATAACGTTTATTTAATGAATTATTAATATACTATTTTAAATTATGGATATTATATAATATGTATCAATGAAATTCTGAATATTCTTGTTATCTAGCAGTCCAAGGATTATCAAACAATGATTTATGAGCAAAGTATTAGTAAGCAACAAAAATTATTAGAAGGACAATATATATAATACTAATATAAAATGCTGCAATAACAAGAGAATAGGTACTCGAATAAGTATTTTTAGCAAAATGATTAACTTAAGTAATAGCCTAAAATTATCATGAAAAATATATTACTTATTTTAAACCTTCATCAGGGAAACAATTTTTCTCAATATATTTAGAGAATTAAGCATTATGTTCTCTAAGTCCATTCTAAAATAATATAGCAAAAAAAAATTACATTTCCATCTACTTCATTTAAATAAACTGCTCCTAATCCTATGCATAAAATGGCAATGATCAATCCAATACCACATAAAAATTTTGGTTGATGAAAATCTGTCATATCCATCCATGAGAAAATCTAATATTAAATAAATTAAATATACTCTATTTTTCATCAAATATAAAATAGGAGCCAAGAAAAGTACAATTCCTACACTTATAATAATAATTAAAGACATAGCTCTTTCTGAATTATATACTCTTTATCCACTCTTAGATATTTAATCAATATCTTTTGGAGACAATTTCTAACATACTTCATTTGTATTAATTTAAATTTTCTTTATGGCTTCTAATGCATACGTATCTGAATTATCTTCATAATTTTAATAGAAAGGTAATTAAGATAGTACATCTGCTAAACCATTTTATTAATATATTTGATGAGCTGAAAATGTATTTAAAGTAATTCGATGAGATTACAAATCTTTATAATCATCACAACCAATTTCAGGTCTTTTTGCTAGAGGATAATATTTATTTGATTAGAATTTTGGATTGAATTTATAATTATAACAAGGTGAAGAATTACTTTCTCCAATTCCTGGTACAACTTCAATACTAACAATAGGTGATGAATTATCAAATTGTTTAATGTAATTATCTGTTCCTATTTTTATTGCATTTCTATCATTTTATCTTGAATTATCTTTAATTAAACCTGAAAGTGGACAATTTTTATTTTATGGTACACAAACATTACCACATTATTTATAAGATGTTTCACAAGCAGCACCTTCTAATGTTTTCCATTCAGCATATAATTTAGTACAATATTATTTTTATTACCAAGTTGTAAATAATTAAGAATCATGAGATTTTACTCTTTTACAATTAGATTTATAAAAACAAGTAAGAGAATGACTAATATCACCATTTTCACAAATACATCCAGATGATACTCCATCCCATTAACCTAAATGAGTTCTACCATAACCATCTGGACACTCTACTGAATCATGTGTAAAATATGNTCAATGAAATTCTGAATATTCTTGTTATCTAGCAGTCCAAGGATTATCAAACAATGATTTATGAGCAAAGTATTAGTAAGCAACAAAAATTATTAGAAGGACAATATATATAATACTAATATAAAATGCTGCAATAACAAGAGAATAGGTACTCGAATAAGTATTTTTAGCAAAATGATTAACTTAAGTAATAGCCTAAAATTATCATGAAAAATATATTACTTATTTTAAACCTTCATCAGGGAAACAATTTTTCTCAATATATTTAGAGAATTAAGCATTATGTTCTCTAAGTCCATTCTAAAATAATATAGCAAAAAAAAATTACATTTCCATCTACTTCATTTAAATAAACTGCTCCTAATCCTATGCATAAAATGGCAATGATCAATCCAATACCACATAAAAATTTTGGTTGATGAAAATCTGTCATATCCATCCATGAGAAAATCTAATATTAAATAAATTAAATATACTCTATTTTTCATCAAATATAAAATAGGAGCCAAGAAAAGTACAATTCCTACACTTATAATAATAATTAAAGACATAGCTCTTTCTGAATTATATACTCTTTATCCACTCTTAGATATTTAATCAATATCTTTTGGAGACAATTTCTAACATACTTCATTTGTATTAATTTAAATTTTCTTTATGGCTTCTAATGCATACGTATCTGAATTATCTTCATAATTTTAATAGAAAGGTAATTAAGATAGTACATCTGCTAAACCATTTTATTAATATATTTGATGAGCTGAAAATGTATTTAAAGTAATTCGATGAGATTACAAATCTTTATAATCATCACAACCAATTTCAGGTCTTTTTGCTAGAGGATAATATTTATTTGATTAGAATTTTGGATTGAATTTATAATTATAACAAGGTGAAGAATTACTTTCTCCAATTCCTGGTACAACTTCAATACTAACAATAGGTGATGAATTATCAAATTGTTTAATGTAATTATCTGTTCCTATTTTTATTGCATTTCTATCATTTTATCTTGAATTATCTTTAATTAAACCTGAAAGTGGACAATTTTTATTTTATGGTACACAAACATTACCACATTATTTATAAGATGTTTCACAAGCAGCACCTTCTAATGTTTTCCATTCAGCATATAATTTAGTACAATATTATTTTTATTACCAAGTTGTAAATAATTAAGAATCATGAGATTTTACTCTTTTACAATTAGATTTATAAAAACAAGTAAGAGAATGACTAATATCACCATTTTCACAAATACATCCAGATGATACTCCATCCCATTAACCTAAATGAGTTCTACCATAACCATCTGGACACTCTACTGAATCATGTGTAAAATATGATATCATATTAAGAACTGAAGCAGATGAAGATTGTGTTGCTACAACAATATCTTCTATTGGAGCTTATTGCATATTATTTTTCAAAGTTTCAAGTGTGTTATGTGCACCTTCTGGATTGAGATGTTTTACTTTAGAAGCAAAAAGTAATGCCATAATTAGAAGAATTATAATAAAGAATGCTATTGGTAATATGTAAAGTAACCAATCTATCAACTATAAATTCAAATTTAACGATTACATAAGAATACTTCTTTGGTTTTACTACAGCAATAGTTTTGTTTTGAATTGGTTACTATACAATTATTTACTCTCTTGGTGGCTCAGGTTATACTTTCACTTAAAGAATAGACTATATAACTACTTTAATATTCTGCTTCTATTGGTGGTTAGGGTTAATATACAGGTTTTGCTAATAATAAATATTGATAAGATACTTGGTGTGTTGGTAGTATATCCAAATGGTAATGGGGCTACTTATTACTGTGGATTTAAGTACATAGATTGGACATAGGAATTGGGTAACATTGATAAATCAAAATAAAATCAATAAAATTAAGATTAAAAAGAGAGTATTGTAAATATTGTGATTAAAATTATATTTATGTTATGCTCTTTAATATTGCTCAGAATTTATAATCTGGAGTAGTGTTGGCCTTTCTAAAAGCTGGTTTACCACATTCCAATAATGCTATTATTAATTTGATTGGGTACCATCTTTGAATTACATACATTTTGATTCATCCTTAGTTCTAACAACACACTAATCATATTTGGATTACTTTTTACTTCTTTAAATGCAGCTAATTCTCCTGGACATTCTTATTTCAAAATAATTGTTCTTGGGGCATTTTCATCTTCTCTTGGGAAACTATTTAGTAGAAATAGAGTGAATTTATTACAAAATGACTTTGCTTTCCATTTAAGTTGATCTCTTTTTTGCAGTGGAGAAATTGTATGATCGTGATTCCATTTTAATTAAATATCTAAGATTTAAATTAATCTAAGTAACACACATATAAATATTTTGTTTCAATCATTATTTTCTACTCCTAACTGATTTGACTGCCAAATTAAGTGCTACCTTATACAATTGAGAATCGAAAGTGTTTGTCTACTTCATAGATTTTCCTATTGCTTTTGCCGTAGCTGATTTCTGATGATGCATTTATTAAGAAGATGATTATCCACTACTCTATTTTAACATTGTTGATTATTATGAATTAGTCACTTATCTTGCAGAATGAGTTTATTAATAATATACAAGTTTTTATTCTCCACTTGTATTAATTTATAATGGTTTATCATTTGATTTTGATTTTATATTGATTTTTCTGTTTGGTTCTCTATTAGATAGAGGCTCTTGAATTTTTACTCTTCTAAATTAATTTAATTCTTTAATATTCAATTTTTTTCTTGATGATTATCCCTTAAGACGATTTGTTATTTCATATCTCTAGGTAAGACTACGAGGATCTTAAGCTAGAGATAGACTATCATAATGAACAGTACAACACTGTTTAGAATCTCTAATTAATTTTTTGGCTAAAAGTGTCTACAAATCAGACATGACTTTTAATTCTAATTATTACACTTTTTTTGGATGATGTGGACTTTATTAAGGAGCTCTAGGAGTAATACATTTAGGTGATTTAAGAAGAGTAGCAATTCTTTATTGATTTGGTAACAATGTATGATTATTTGGAGATTTGAACTCAACTTCACGAGGAGTCTAAATTAAAAGATTGAAATAGATTACAATATGCAATTAATCAGATTTTTATGATTGATTTTTCTTTTTTGCAACTACTTTTGGAATAGATGTCTTGAGCATATTAAGTATACTTGTTATACTTGATTTGCGATGTTATAGAAGTGGTTTCTTTTATTTAATCTATTATTCTTTAAAAGGCGGTTTGTAGTTTTCGTATTTAAAATTGGGATTGGTAGATTACATAAGTTTATATTGCTGGAGCTATTACTTGAAGTTCACGAATTGTGGTTTGGGCTCAATGATGCTGATACCTTCAAGGATCTTCTCACATTTAGACATCGGCTAAGTTCAGGGTGTTCTGTCTTACTTCGTCTGAGGAGCTTGGATCTTAAGCAGTGACTTATTGGCTGGATTACGGCATTGGTGAATCTCCTACTATTCCTTTGGGTGGTTTGTCTGGATTATTCTTATTCTCTTGAGCTATCAACTTGGCAATGCGAAAGTACTCCAATCTTCTCTTCTTATCATGGTAATAATTCAAAGGAATTATGGCTGGTAACATGAATAAACGAGGAATATCATTATGGAACTAATAAATAGCAATGAAAACAATACTTTATAATACTCACCCAACATTTGCAATTTTTCATACATAATGTCACATTTATATATTTTACATAATAATTCTTCAGGTGTGTCATACATAATCACATCCTTGTAAAGTATATTGTTTGCTGTACGGTAATTATGTAAGATCTCTGTGATTCCCTTTGTGTAATGGTAATTCTATGATTGAGAGTATTTCAAGAACAAAGAATGTCGCATGATTTCTATCTTTATAACATATACATTATTACCAATTAAAGGAGTAGTCTCTTCACAAAAATCACATTTCATTTTGAATTTGTTATATTTATAAAATTATATAAAATAATATTCAAACCATATTATTCACTTTTATAATGGATAAGACTCTTCAAAGAATAATAAGATAAACTCAAAAACATGTTGACTCTAAATCTAATTGTTATTTTGATCAATATTCCTTTAATTACACCAGAGATCTTCTTGGTGAAGGATCATTTGGTAGGTTATAATATCTAAGACCATTAGTGTGTATCGAGGAATCCAAGGAAATTCTTATGTTGCTATAAAGATCCTTAATCTCAAATTATATGACAATCCAAGTTATAAATAAGCACTTAAAAATGAAATTACTCTCATGATGGAACTTTAGAGTCCCAATGTTGTAAGGATATTAGATGTAATCAATTCAAATTCATATAATAGGCATTATGTGATTAACAAGATAATGAACTCTTTTTAATTATTGAATATTGTGAAGGAGGTGATCTTCGTCATCTTTTGTCTCATTAACCAAACTAAAGATTTTAAGAATAAGCTGCTGTTGCTATAATTTCTTAAACAATTTAAGGATTATCAGAATTACTACAGAAAAATTATATGCATCGTGACATTAAAGTAATATTTTAACATTAAATCAGCCTGATAATATTCTTCTTAAGTAAAATACCTATAAAGTTGCTGACTTTGGTCTTGCTGCTAAAATTCCTCCAAAATAAGTCTTAAGAGGTATATATAACTATTTTACATACTTTAAGCCCAAGCGGGAACACCTTTGTATATGTCACCATAAGTTTTAGAATGTAAAGAATACTCTAATAAATGTGACATTTGGTCTTTGGGATTAGTTTTATATGAACTTCTTTTTGGTAGAACTCCTTGGTTATGCAGAAGTTTTGATACTTATTTAATGGAGATCTAAACTAAGCCTTTGTAATTCCCTTATGAAATAGAGATTTCAGCTAATGTAAAAGATTTCATTAAGAGATGTTTAAAAATTGAAGAACACAATAGGATGAGTTGGACAGAATTATTAAAACATCCTATGTTATAATTTCAAGGAAAATTGAAACGATAAGCTACTTAAGAAAGATTAAATTTTACAATTTTAGAAAGAGAATATTTACATAATATCTAATTAGTATGTGCTCAACATAATATGTAAGCAAAAGATTTAATGAAATAATGTGGGAAGACTCATATTAATGAATAAGAATTTTAGAATATGCTACGTAAGATTATGAATTAAGATAATGATGAAATTAGTAAATAATTATTTGTTAAATTTGATTAATCAAAAGATGGATTGATAAGTGCTTAAGAATTTGAATATCTATTTAGTGAATATGATTTTGCACCTATTAATACAATTGCTGTTTAAATTACTCATGAATTATAGGCAATTATTAAAATGTATAAAATTTCATTGAAATAATTATTTTAACAATTAGATTAAGATAAAAATGGATATCTTGATCAAAAAGAATTTGAATTTCTTATTAAAAAGATAGCACCAAAACTATCTTAAAAAAATATCTTAGAAATATTCAAAAATTATGATTAAGATAATGATGGCAAGATTAGTTTAAAAGAATTATAATTTGTTCTTTAAAGTAAGAATTATAAAAAATTAAAAATCATTTTAAATAGAATACGTGAAACTTTAATGAAAAAATCAGTATCCACTCATACATTGTTTACTTAAATAGATAAAGAATAGAAGGGATATTTAAATTTCAAAGATTTTGAGTATTTAATTGGAAAATTAGATAAATTAAATAGATCTGATGTATAAGATTTATTTAATTTGTTTGATGAAGATGAGAATGGTAAAATATCTTTAAATGAATTTAATTCATTGTTAAATTTATGATTTAGTAATATAAAGAATATTTATTATTAATAATTGAAAATTTTTTGATTCAAAATAATAGATTATATGTAAAACACTAAATTTAACTATTTTAATTAATGAAATACTATTTAGCTTTCTTAATAATTTTAGTTTTTGTATATATCAAAAGGGATGATTTACAAAAGCTTACTCAAATAGAATAAATAGAGGATATTGCAGAAAAGAATAAAAAATTGGCAGAGTTTGTTAATGGAAGATAAATCCATGATTTATTTCTTCTTTATGCAGTGAAAATGATTGATTCTAATCTTAAAATGGCTTATTATACATTGGAGGATACAGTGTCATCACTTTCAAATTTACCTACTCTAATTTATAATAGGATTGTAAGAGAATCTAGAATTCAAATCAAAAGTATTCCATCTCAAATAAACTTTGCAAATTATTTTGGTGGTGCCACTATTCTTACAAAAAGCAAATAATTAATTGGAGTAGATAATATTTTAGTTGATAATTAAGAAACGTATTTATATTCTGATTTGAATTTAGTTATATGATCACAGAATGTAATCAAGAGAAATTATTTTTTATAATTTGTTTAAAAGAAGAGATCTAATTAGAAACAATCTACTTTATTAATAAAGAATTTTATTCTTCAACAATAAAGAATTTCAAGGTATCATTTAAGAATAATTAATTTTCTCAGGTTTTTGGAAGTATTGTATATCCTACTTAAGCATGGGATTTTTTGTAAGCATTTGAATCAGAGGATATAAATGATTGGTAAAGCTTTGAATTTGAATCTCATTTCCTAAGATATTTGAAAATAGAGATTATTGATTTTCATTAAGCAGAGTATCATTGCACTTTAACATAAATAAGGTATTTAATTTATAATTAAAAACTTAGAGTTTTTGGATAAACAGTTATAGGAGATTTAATATAATCACATAAAAGATATAAATTACAATTACCAAAAATTGAACCTATAAAAGAGGAAATTAAATAACCATAACGAATTAAAATGCCATGTAGTGAAATAATTAATAATTACTCTAATAACAATAATTCTACATGTAGTTATTTCGATTACATATTTGATATACAATAATCTAGTATTGATGAAATTGATGATCAAAATCAATATTTAGATGTGATTCCATTTGAATCAAATTAATCATTATTTAAAGTGACAGCTTAAAATATAGTTATTTTATCACACAATCTTCAATTGTTAAAAGAATAATTATAATCAATAAGTAATAATAAAAAGAGAGAAATGGAAAATTAAAAATAACATGATTACATATAATAGTAATTATTACTTGAACTCACACAATAGCGAAATATTAATAGCAATTTAGAGGAATAAATAAAACAATTGAATTTTCTCACTAATGTTTGTGCAATATGTATAGTAATATTATTTATTGGACTTTGTCTTGTATTGATAAATAAACAAAATCACTAAGGTAACAACAGAAATTAATAAATTCTTATCTAAAACAATAACAATATTCCTGATATTAATACTTTGACTCCAATTTTGGTGAACGGGTATTCAAACATGAATGATGAAAATTGTCATCATATAATTAAGAGTAAAAGCAATAATAGCAATCATAAAAATACAAAAAAGAGCAATATTGTTAATTGATTTATATTATTACTATTTTATTTAAAGAATTAAAATATTTAATTCATAAATAATTAATGTTCCCTAGTAAATTGTATGATTTACAATTAACTCCTTCGCTAAATAAGTTTAATTCTGATTTTTAAAGTGCTAAATTGATAGAGTCATTTAAACAACTATTAATTGAAGACGATAAGGAAATAGTCACATCCGCTATGGTATAGTGCTTAAATCAAAAAGTTAGGATCTGATGAAAGCAATTTCATATTCTCTGTATGGTACATGGTTTTATTGGAAAGCTTTGAGCGATATTTGTCAAGGTGATGATCTCAACACCATAAGTTAATAATTAGAGAGAAAAATCATAATTTATGATATTTGTGAAGTTGAGGATTTGAAATGCCAAGTAATTAATTTTGGATACAAGAAACGCATATATTTGGCTAGATATTTAAATTACTTTTATGTGGTGGGCAAAAAGGGTACATCTGAAAAACATAAACTTATAAAGGATATCTTAATGGATGTTATCAATGAAATAATTGGATTACCTATTAGAAGACATAAAAGATCTTATTCAGATGCTTTGAAGTATCTTTCTGATTAAAAGGATAACAGAACAAATAAATTGAACATAAAAAATGTACCTCTATCTCCCTCAAATATATCACGTACTAGCTTATAAATGTAATTACTTGATGAGATAAATCAAGAAAGTGATCTTCTATTAAAGGAATGTAATTCTTTAATTAATTGTCCTTCACCTTAGAATGATCTTTTACAATCTCTTAATTTAAATTTATAAGAAGGAACAAATATATTATCTAATGTAAATATATTATATACAAATATATATAGATAAGATATTTTGGAACTCTAAAGTTTTATGATGAAGCAAGATCTTATGGCTTTATAATTATGGACATGGATGGTAGTGATTTATTTGTTCATTGCGATGATTTGACTAAAGCAGGAATGAGTAAGGATTTCTTAAGAACAGCTAAGCATGGAAATATTATTAGATTTTCATTTCTTATTCTTGAATACTTTGGAAAATATAATAAAAGTAGAAAAGCAGTTGATTTATAGTTTATTCAAGGTCAACCATATTTCATATGATATTTATATGTATATTTTACTAATATAAGTTAAATATAAAATATATAATCATAACTTCTTATTTCTAAGTTTGCTTAATTTTTAGCTGCCATTCTTATCAAAAATATATAAACTAATAGCAATAATACAGTTAAAAAAGCTAACTCCAACAAAGAAGTAAGATTAGTAAACATAACTAAATCTATAAATAATTATAATACCCTTCATATGGATCTAATTGTCCATATTCATTAATGACATGTCCATTGTAAATGCTTCCAGTAATTAATGGAAAGAGAGCTAAGGCAGTATTTTACATAACTCCTAATAGACCAAATGCAGTTCCTTAAATAGAAAATAAAAATAATACCAATCATTTAAGGTTTGACAACTAATGGAATAGAAGGAATTAGAATTGCTGAATAAAATGAGTAACATAATCCAAGAGATAATAAAGGTAATGCAGATACTCCACATGCACTCTAAAAATAATAGAAATAATATTTACATCACAATGAATTAAGAGTAAACATAAATGAGTTACAATAAAAATAACCGTTGTGAGAACTATTAGTAAAGATCTTTATCTAATCTTATCTGAATATATGCCAATGATTGGAGTAACAAGGGCAGCAAATACATATGGAATTGTTAAAAGTACTCCTGCTGATTATTGACTAAATCCAAATTTGACTTAAAAAAATGCGTTACCATTATCTAAAAAAGGCACAAACAAAGCTTCACTCAACATAATAATAGATGATAGAATCCAATAAGATCCATCTAGATTTTTTAAATCAGATAATTTAATTTCTTCTTTTGCATCATGAACATTATGATTTTATTTTTCTTCATCATCATTATCATCTTCATCTTCTTCTTAAAGAAATGATTCAGAATAATCACTACTATCAACAGATTAATTATGATTTCCATTTGTTCTTAATTGTAAACTTAATTCTTGTGATAAAGTATCTGATGATACACTTTTCTCTTTAACTGTTGCTATAATTTAAGGATTTATTTTCAAATATTCTTTCATAAGATCTTCATTTTTTTTATCCAAATAAATTAACAATAAACCACAACCCCAAGAAAATAAAACAATAAATAATCCAACCAAAAATGTAAAACCTAGTTCATTATGATTTGCTTATATTATAGGACTTACAAAAGAATTCATAGCACTTCCCAATTTAGGTATGGAAAGACATAATCCTAAAGCCAAACTTACCATTCCACCTTCAAACCATTTTGACATTATTGCAGCTTAAGCAGCATTCAAACTTTCAGATCCAATTCCAAATATACATCTACCTGCTAAAAGAGTACCATAAGAGAGAGTGTATCCTCCTATAACTACAATTCCTTAACCGAAAATTAAAATAGTAGAAAATATAAATATACTAACTCTCACTCCAATCTTATCAATTAAAATTCCTCCAAAAAAAGGAAGAATTATATTGGGGGCAGAATAAATGGAATATAACATGTTAAATTATACATTATTTAATCCCATTTAGCTTTAAATAGTAGATTAAAGAGCCATTGGATTATCAAAGGCATAAGCATCTCCAAACAATAATAAGCATGCCAATGCAAGGGCCAACCATAAAACCCAAGTTTTTTAGAATGGTTATTTTGTGATGTATGATTATTTGATGATAGAGATTTCTTCATTGGATTAATTCATTAATTCTTAAATTTATTAAAATTTAATTACATTATTAATAATACTGAAAATATATACTTATTATATATTCTGTTAATTCAGATTAGTTATCAGTTATCATTCAATTATTAATCCCTATTCTGACTCAACAATTAGTTTTATGGTATTTTCATCCAATTACTCCCATTTTTAATCTTCTTTATTTAAGATCTTCGTAATCTTAAAATTCAACACAGTTTCTCTATTCTATAAAATAATTATATTAATAATTAATTTTACTTCATTTGTGTGATTTATCAAAAATGTAAACTTTCCCCTTTTAATATGCAATACAGAATTAATTTCATTTATTTCAACCTATTCATTTTCTAACCATCCATATTGTTATTCAATTTATACAAATTTATCATCTACAATATCTTATATCAATCCCTATATTTAATATAATTTTTTACTGAGCCAATAGCAAGAGCATTTAAGATTTGAGCTTAAGTATATACTCCAGTATTTTCATAGAGTATCTTAGGTTATAATTATTAATGTTATAATTTAGAGAGTCTAAAATCAAAACCTAATCCTCCTTCTTTGATTGTTCTGCAAAGAGCTGGATAATCCAAGTCTTAAATTATACTGATACCGTTTGGTAGTAAATCATGAATCAAATCATTAGCTAACATTAAATATACAGTGGCATCAATATCATCTGTTATATCAATATTAGAGAATTTAAATCCATCAATTTGATATTCTGTAATCCAAAAAGATATATTTGATAGTAATAATCTCAAAACTTCCCATTTTCCATAGTCTAATTATTCTACTTCTTCTCTTAAATATTAAAATCCAGTTCCATCCCAATTATTCAAATATTTTCCTATTTATTCATGATCAATATCCATTATAACTGAAAATCCTTTTTGATGAAGTATATCTATGTTTCTTTTCAAATCATCAGGAGTTATTAAATTTATGTCCAGTTACATTAGTAATTATTGAGTAATCATTATTGCATTATATCCATTTACTCCTTATAATTCTTTTATATTTTGCTTTATAACTTTTAGACCTTTACTCTGCTGTTTTTATTACAATTACTATTATTGAAATTCATATTTATTCTCTGGATTCCAAAATATTGCTTAATCTCCATTCTTTACACTACTCCAAACTGAAGCTCTTTCTAGTTCATTACAATAAGTAATAAGTTTGCTACCATGTTAAATTTAATGATTATCATCATCATCTTTTGGAATAAACACTTCCCAATTTCCACCATTATCAGTTGTACAACTATATTCATTCAATTTTAATTCTTTTGCATTTGGTGCCCATTCTCTATAAGTAATTCCTGTATCAGAAACAATAAATCCATATTTTTAATACCTAAATTAACATTTAATATTACCCTTTAGAGAATTCCTTAATTGATGATTCGACTTTGATTATTTGTTCCAAAATCTAAAAAAACTTCTCATTTCTATTTTGAATCACCTCTTTCAATTCAGGCTCCTCAATCACTGTTTATAATTGATCGACATTCTTCTCATACTTTTACATGAATTCCTCATTCTCAAAAACTGATTACTATTATTAATGATAATATCTATACTTAATAAAATAAAGAATTCTTCTTAGACAACTTTCTATTGGGAACTTTTCTAGAAAGAGCAGTGCCTTAATCAATATAATTCATTTTTATTATTATTATATATATAATAGTGAATATTATATATTTAATTATAAAAGCTTATTCAAACATTTAGAGTAGTACTCTTGTATAAACATTAATAAATTTATTTAAAATCAAATTCTAATCTAAAAAAAAACTGAATAAAGTAGTTAAAATATATAAAAAATTTATATTTGGATATTTAAAATCAAAGTAATAATACAAAATAATTGTATATCAAAATTCAATCTAATTTTTACGTATTCATTTTGGTTCTGTGAGATATATACTATTTAAATATACGACTATTCATATATGAGGCTTTTAGAGATGGATTATCTATTTTTGGATTGTTATATAGTAATATATTCTTTTTCTTCTTTCCTTTAGATAAATCATTAATTCTGAAAGGGTATAAGTCTTTATATTTTTTCCTTTCTTTTTCCTAAATTATCATTTTACTTTAATTTGATAAAATAATGTCTTAATTATGTTATCCCTGAACAGTATTAGAAGATTCATGATTCTGTAAAGATATTTCTTGTGACTCTTCATCTATTAGGACATAATTATCCCATTCATCATCGGAATTATGATTACTGTTTATCTTATTACAGTTTATATAAGATTATTTGCTCCTTTGCATCACTATTAAATTATTGATTGATCAAATAAATAAATATATTCACAATTTTTTACATGCTCTCTCCATCATGTTCAAGAAGGAGATTGAAATCAAACAATTTATAATATTGAAAAAATATTTGAAATTGATAATTATTTTTGAAGATAATATTTACTTAATTTGTTAATTGAATAAACTTTATGTTTTTTTAAATCTATCTGAATATAATCATATAACTTGACTAATTTACATCTATTCTCATATCTATATTGATCATGACATTCATCTTCTTAACAATATACAATTTTAGAATACAATAACATCCATACAAATACTAAACTAAGCAACAATTCAACCATCCTTTTTTCATAAGCTAATATAAAAACTAAATCAAAATGAGTTATCATCTATTGAAACTTATACTATAGAATTGCTATGTAAATAAATTAGAGAACACTGATAGTAAGTATTTTCAATATACATAATATATATTTACTTCTAAAACTAATACTAATGTTTTAAAAGCTAAAGACATATTGATGAAATTAACATGTTTATATTAAGCTTGAACTCTTAAAAAACTTTAACTTAAATTCTCATACAGATTTTAATTTAAGTTTTATTCATAACTTATTCTTAACTAACAATTTTCTTTTTGTATTTTGAATATAAGTAATCAATTACCTAACCTTTTTACTTCACATTTAACACATGAAAAATCAAATACACTTCTTGGTTTATCCTCTTAAATGTGTCTCATGTTGTTCCATTTTAGATTCATTAAAATTCTTCAAGAAATCTTCATTTGAGTTATAATACTATCATTCTCATCTATAAACCTTTTCATTCAATATGTTTCATTCTCTATCTATAAGTATAATTGCTCTTGATCAAAAATTCAAATGTTTTAGGATTTTTCCTTTCCAATTATTTGTTCTCATCAATTATCTTGTCTATAGAACTTGATGAGAATTTGAGGATGAATAGATAAAGAGTAGTGAACAGGAAGCCTATGTGTAAACTTTAAAAAAAAATATTCATTTGAATACAATCAGTAACACTATTGTTAAAAAATATCTATCTGAATTATTATATGAGTTCATAAAAATAAAGATAAATTTCAAAGATACTCAAGATATTCTCAAGATATTCAAGCATATTTTTTCTTATTTCTCTGTTAAATTCTTTAAGATTGAGTTTTTTTAATATCTTTGATATATACTATTTATATAAGACTAATGCATTTATTAAATTATAAAAAATAAAATTCTTATAAAGTTGTTTATTTATTTTTTAGTTATAAAAATAGATTAGCCATCATCGTATATGTATCCTATAAGATCATTTTATTTCAATTAGGAATTTAAATGGCATAAAAATAATATATATTATTTTTCTTTCCGCTTAAATTTAATATAAAAATTTTGAATTTTTTTAAAGAATTAATAATAATATATTATAAGGTTTATAATATGTAAAAATAATTTGACTATTATTTGATTAATAAAAATATGGTTTATAAAATTAGAAATAAATCATTCTTTTGGACTAGAGCAGGATGGAAGAATAACTGGCATCCTAAAAATTTTAATGCTCCTCGTCCTTCCAGTTCAGAATTTACTATTGGTATTAGATGTAGATATGATCATAATTCATTTTTAAGAGGTTTTTTAATTTTATTAAATTTAATAGCTTATCACTCATATAGGAAGATCTCCAGACATTGCAAACAATATTTCTTTGGAAATAAAGAATTAGAAGAATTATTTTAAATGGGTTTGAGGACTTTTTTTATCGTTCCACATATTGCTGAATGTCAAGTCACATAAATTAAACATGGTGGTGAAAGAAGAATGGTTGATTAAATAGATAGAGATTTTGAATTAGTATCTTATAATTCGCATCCTTATTAATTATTCACATATACTATATGGAATCAATATTTAGCTAATCAATAAGAAGCTTATGAATAAAGAAAGAATGGAGGTAAAGCTATTGAAGATTAAGTTATTGATCATATTAGGTAAAGATTATATAATTAAAGTGAATAGTGAATTAGTGAAAGAAGAGAAGAGTAAGTTGGGTCCTGGAAAGTAATTAAGTATTGAGAGAACAGCTGATATAGTGATGAATGTAATGAGATAATTAAGAGCTGCATAATAAAGACCAAATTTGAATAATAGGTATATTATTAAATAAAAAATTATAGAAGAGCAGATGGAGAATTTGATGATTTTTTAGAATAAAGAAGACCGTTTACAGCTCCTAATAACCAATCAGCAACACATTGAATAATATAATATGTATAGAAAAATCAATTAAAATTAAACATATCATTTATCAGATTATTTGATTAATCTATAGCAGTATTACGTCTTAATCTCTTTCTATATTTTTTTTAATCATCTTTATCCTCTTCATCTGATTCTTCATTAATAAAATTATTAACAAATTCATTTTTATTTTTTTTAATTGTACTAATATATTTCTTCTTCTTATTTTGAACTTCTTTTTGATTTATATTTTCTTCATTATTTTCTTTATTTTAATCACTAGATCTTTTATTGTTCTTCTTAATGTTCATTTTATTATTGAAAAGAAAAGTGAAAACTAGTTCTTCAAGATTTATAATTTTTTCTTATAGGTCTTCAAATTACTTTTCAATTAGTTCTTAATTATCTGATTTTAATTCAACATCCCTAACAGTTTACTTGATAATCAATGTTTATTTTTAAACTTTCCAAAATAAATCTTATATATCTGATGCCTCACAATCAATCATTTATATCACTGATTACAATTTAGTTATTTGTTATGTCTTCTCTTGAAGATCCTTTTTCACTTGAACTAGTTATTATTATACTAATAATCATAAAATAATTATACAATCTGAAGAAAATTTTAAGGCTTCTTAACATTATTCTTTTAATTTTTGCATTTGTATATAATTATATAATTATATATATATATTATTTTGGACATTCAATTTTATAACGCTTCTTATGCATAAAATTTAACATCTCTATCTGGATCATCTATTAATTCATTAATTGCTCTATGAAATAATTAAATTATAATATACTATTTAATTTGATTCAAAGTTTATTAGTTATCAATTTTCTTTGACAAAGATTTAGCCACTCTTATACTAACAAATTTAATATTTGGAACAGGGTCTTTTAAACACTTTTATACTATTGGCCATAATCTATCTTAAGCAACAGGACCATCAACACTATAAGCAATTTATTAGATTGCATAAAGTGCATTAATTCTATACAATGATCCAACATCTTTAGATAAAGTTTCAACACATTTGGATAAGAAGTTACCTACTGCCCATTCTTATTTATAAGTAGCAATTAAAGCAGGCAATTAACTTAATCCCATAGATCTAACTTCAGCTGCTCTATCTTTTAAAAACATTACAAAAACTGATTCCAATTACTTATTAAAAACATCAGGATTCTTAACAGTTCTTAAAAATATAAATATTAAAATTTATACAAAGCTAATTAAATGATAGTTTGCATAGTCTCTTTTCTTACTCTCCATTTAGGATCATCCATACATTTTTTGAGAAAAGGTACAAATTGATTCAAAGCCTCTGGACCAATAGCAGCTGCAAATTATCCAGCTGATTTTGCAGCATTTCTTCTTACATCTTAATTATCATCTGCCATTAAATCAATTAAATATTATTATAATTTGCTTTGACTATATTCTTTTGGTAAAAGTGATGCAATTTAACCAATAACTTCACATGCATTTTCTAAAATTGACAATAATCAATACATTTAACTTATGAAAAGGGATCTTTAGATAAAAGTTATAATAGAGGAACTATCAAATTTAATTTTTCTGGTGATACAAATTTAATGAATCTAACCAAACTTTTGACTGCAATGACTCTTACATCACATTCTATATCTTTTAATAAATTAGAAAATATCTAAATAAGTGAGGAATCTGCAATCTCTTTACCAACAGCTTCTGCTAACTATTTAGATATTATTAATTATTTTTACATCTGCAAATATTTTAGATAATGCTAATCTTACTCTCCATGATTTATCTTCAGCTGATTATATAATAAGTGGTAATATATTTGTTTTATTTTCACCACTATTCAAAATTTTTGCTATATTCATTAAACTTTCCATGCATAATAATCTAACTTAATCCTATTCATCTTAACATAATTATTTTAAAACAGGTATCAAATCCTGAATTACATGAATCTTATCCATAAATTAAGCAATTTCTCCAATTTTAGTAGCTACAGCTCTTCTTACCATAGGTGTTTCTTCACTACATAACTCAGTAAACTTTCTAATTCATATTTAAATTTGAATTACTATCTAATTTTCTCCTTTTAATTGCCTGCTCTTGCATATAATGGACACATCAAACTGACTGCTGATACACGACATGTAAAATTAGTATCATTTGAAGCTAATCTAATAATCTATAAAATTGTAAAAGAAATAGTTACCATAGGTACAATAGTGTTAGCTATTTCATTGTCACCCAAAAATCCACACACTATAGTGATAGATTTCACAGCTTGTTCTCTCACAACGGTTTCATCGAATCCTGCCAATTATTCAAGAAGTGGTAACAAACATGAAGACTGATTTGGGATGATTTAACTAATTATAATAAAATATCATTACGCAATATTTCCCAATTCTTCAGATAATGCAAATAGTACTTCATCATCTTCTTTCTTTAATAGAGCTAGTTTAAATCATTTCTATTACTTTCAAAATATGGTATTAATTATGACTTTATTTTATCACTACCTAATAAAGTGGCTACAACTCTCACTCTATGCATAGCATTTACTTTTAAATAAACTTCTTCATTTTCCATGTCTTCTTTTAAAACCTCAAATGGATTTTCACTCATAATTAAATAAGATTTATATATAACAAAGAAATTATTTCTCACATATGAAAGAAAATTAATGAAATCAAATATAGATGTAATATGTATATTATATTTAAAATAATAATCAATACTTAAAATATAAGGATATTTTCAAATTCAATTATTCATTTGACAATCTATAAATTTATATTAATAAAATGTAATAATAAATAATAATAGGTTCAATTGTATGTTTTGCTTCATTTCTATTGATTATATTAATCATAGGATGGGATGTTGTTGAAGTTACTAATTGGGGTTTAAAATGTAATTCCATAAGTAAATAATGTGATAAACAAATATATGCTCCAGGAAGATATTTAGTGGGTCCTTTTAATTCCTTTTTTAATTTCCCTGGTAGCAGATTAACTATTGAATTTTCAGATGATAAACGAGCATAAAGTCAACCTCTTAAAACAAGAACTGCTGAAGGTCTTACACTTAGTTTACATGTCTCATTTTAATACCAACTTATCAAGAATGAAATTGCATAACTATACGCTTTAGGTGGATTGAATTACGAAGCCACTTTTATAAGGATGGCAAGAGATACTATTTTATAAGCAGCAGGCAAATTTGAAGCACCAAAATATTGGACTAATAGGAGAAACATAACAGAAGTTATGTAAAATCAATTATAAGATGAATTGAAAAAAGCTCATGCTAATTGTGTATCACTTTAAATTTTGGATATTGAATTACCTGATTAATATGAAGATTCAATTGTTTAAACTTAGATTGAAGTATAAAAGAAAACCATGAAATAATTTGAATAAAAAGCATAAATGATTTTAAATGATATTCTTGTAATGAGAGCTGAAAATGATTAAGAAATTTATGCTATTCATGCATAAGCCGAAGCAGATGCTTTTACAATTACATAAGCAGCATAGGCAACAGCAAATAAATTATTATTGGAAGCAGAATCTAAAGGTTATGAAATGATTTAAAAGAATCTTGAACTTAGTTTAGAAGAATTTAATCAATATTTATATTGGATTTCTGTATTAAAATAAAAAAAAGCTAAATTAGTATTCAATCCTAACACTGTTTTAACTTATAATATGAATCGTAATTGAATAAATCATTTACATTTAAATATGTATTCATAATTAGTAGTTGATTAATTCTCTTAAACGAAGATTCTCTCTATTAAATATTCTAACATCCTCAACTTGACTTGCTTTTATAAGATATTCTGTCAATTATTTCAATTCTTCATCCTTTTCATCAGAATTCCATTCTAGTATTGGTATTCCATTATCTATTTATAAACCAAAAGAATGAGCCAAATTATCAACAATTATTGTAGAACTTAAATCAATATCTTTAAGAGTTCTTAAATCTTTTATAAAGAATCCATTTTTAGTTTCCATACAATGATTTCTTGAAAATATTCCAATAATTTTAGTTTAATCTGGATCTAAATAATCTACAACTATACTAGCATACGAAGGTGATGAAGCTGTGAATATGAAAATTGAATATACTTACGATAATTTATTTAAAAAATAATTTGTATAGGGTCTTACATTAAAACTTATTTAATTAATGTTAACTTAAGCTTACTCTTTACTACTACAACAATGTATTAAAGTTTCATCTAAATCTAATAAAAGAACTTTTGATTTGTTTTCTTCTTTTGGGACTTCTACTTGACGAGATTTTATAAATTAATCACTGGGTCCTTTCAAACATTTGGTTGCATATATTAAACCTCTTTAGGTTAATAAGAGATGTTTCTTTAGTGTAGTTTCAGAAACTGATTCTCCAAATATTAAATGTCTAAAAGGGTGATTTTTTACAGAAACTTCATATTACTTTTATGTTTTCAATTCAGCATCTGAATGATTTTACTTATTTTACAATACATTTTTAGCTGTGTTTGTAAAGAGTTATTAAATAGTTGATGGCTTAGGTTTGAATTTTGATTATTATGGTTTCTATGATGACTTAGGAGATGGAGTTATTGGAGTCCCACAATCAGAATCATCAGTTTAAAACTCTTATTTATGTTTTATAGAGTTAATTGAATGAGGTGTAGTGCTTTCTCCATCATCAGAATAAAATTGTGATTTCTTACTTGGCTTAGTTAATGTTAATTTATGAGTATTGTAATGTGGTTTGGAATTCATTTTTAAAGTGTAGATATGTAAATATTTAATTATATATGTCAAAATAAAATACTTATTAAATTTAAGATCATATATATTTAATTAGAAATAATATCTATACTAATTTATTACTCTTTATCAGTATTTTGTGTCAGATATTTATATTGTTAATTATATTTTTAATAAAATTCAATGATAAACTATAATTAAAGTTCTTTAATTTTTTATGAAATTGAATAATAAATTTAATATTTATATATATACCACATATTTATGATAATTTATATATAAATGTTTCTATTCTATGAAATTAATATAATTAATAATTCAATAATGAATAGATTTCACAAGATTTACATTCTAAGTAATGTTTATTTATTTATCTTTTATTTAAAAAATTAATCAAATTCTATCTTATTCATTTTGAGAATGATTATTATCTTAATGAATTTCAGTCATTTCAAATACAATAGAATCATTAACCTTAGAATGAGGTGTTTCCTCAGTTAAATTAAAAGCATCAGCTGCTTTTCTGACACCTATCTATTTTCCAAAATCTTCCCACTATTTATTTTCTCTATAAAAAGTTTCTTTATTATAAATTAAAAAATATGCTGCAAATGAAGAGAATCTAATAAATAATAATAAAATACAAAACTCCCCAAAATGCACCCACAATTGATATCATATCAAATGATGTTGAATAGGTCAAAACAGAGATTTATTATGTCTAAAATTAATTTAATTTTTTATACTAATTCTGTTCTAAATCCTATTTAATATGCATTATCACTACTATATACACTCACATTTGTAATCCAACTATTAATTTTTTAAATACTTAAGAAATTTCTAACATCATTTGACCATCTTCTCAAAAAATCAGGCTTTATTGTATATTTCTCAAGTTAAAAGAATATTTCAGTTCTGGGATATAATCCAGGCATTAGAAAGTATTAATAAGTAGAATAAGGCACACTTTCAACAGATTTTCCAGTAGTAAGATCGAAATTTGGTGAATTGTCCCGAATATATAATAAAATTCTTCCACTTGGCAAATAAGATTGAGAATCTATACCCAGCTGCAATCTAATCGATTTCTTATTAACTTATACAGGTTTAATTGCCACCTTAGTTGCAATATTACACTTATATTCTAGGATAAGTAAACTCTGGAGTTTGATAAAGAGCTCCTGACATATTTGCGGATTCACTTGAATTTAAAAAATAAATTTTACTTTGGACAAAGAATTGTATAATTAGATGCTGGAATCCAATCAGGATTGCAAGATTTTAACGGTATTTATGTTTTTACATCTTTTTTAGAGACATCTTGAAATTTAGTAACTTAAAACATTTCAAATTAAAAGATAGAAGGATCATTTATTGTTTTGGTAAACCTAACATTTAATTTAAATTAATTTATACGGATCTCCAAAAAAGTATCCAAAAGCTATTTCTGGTAAAGTTATATTTAAGGCCTCCAATATTTCTTCATACTAATTTACTGTTGGACTATTATTAGTAATAAATGCTAGAATTAGAATCTTAATATGTACCAACAAGTGTATAGATAAAATAAGCTAAAAAACATCCAATCATCAATAGACTTCCATATAAACTTCTTCTAGAGGATACCATTTCAGTTTTAGGAACAGGCATAAATTAAAATAGATCAAAAGAAGCTATTAATCTCCTTTTCATAGTCACAACTCCTTTTGTTTCTTCTTCATTTTCTTCTTTCTTTTTATTTTCTACCACATTATTTTCAACTTACATAAATTTAATATTATATGACTAAATGCTTTTTTATCATTTAAATATTCTTATTAAAATTTCAGTATCCTAAATAGGAAATATCATAGTTAATAATAATAAATCATTTTTATTAAATATGTATGATAATATATAATAACAAAATTTCAAAATTGATTATAATTTATTCATAACTACATTCTTTTGTAAAGAAAATTAATTAACTGCAACTTAAATTTTAAGATATCTTTATCCACAATATTATAACTTATTAATTATTCTAAATCTTAATTATGAAAATCTTTTAACATTTCAAGAATGATTTCTATATCTTAACATATATTCACTTAATTTAACATTTCTGTTAGAGCTTCATAATAAGTCTACTTTTCATTATAAACCAATAAAGATATTGGATTTATGTGAAATGAATCATCATAATATTAAATAATATCATCTATATAGATATTATATATTACTGCTTGAAAATGATAAGTCAAATTAGATAACTTTTAATATAAATTTACTCAGCATTCTTATATTAATTCTAAAATTATGATTAATAAATTTTTTCGTCTAATTAATATAATTAAATTTTACAATAATTCCTAGTTTATATGTTTCATCAGGCTATTTATCAACTTGAATATCATTAATAGGCATCACAAATCTATTCTATAAATATTTAATCTTTTAAATAGCCTATTATAATTCATTCACTAAAAATATCTATTAGAATTTATACTATTTGTAAAAACAAGAGTTTATCTACAGTATTCGATGTTGTCTAATTCAGAGTAGATTTATTCACATTATATATCTAAAAGAGGTTCTTCAATAATCTTTTCATTTATTTTAGTGAAACAGCAATTTTCAGTCATACTTTGAGAATTGCCTGATATAGGAGATTGTAAGGTATGACTCTAAATATGATATAATATCAATTTACTAGTTATAAGTTTTCAAGTTCTTAGTTACTAATTTAGTTATTTATAATGGAACATAGTTTAAATTCAGATTTATGTTATATCTTCACAGAAAAGCTTTGCATAGACTATATATTCTTAATTTAAAACTTTTTTTTAAATATATAAACATACTTCTATATATATTCTATTTATTTGCAGGCTTAACTAAAAAGCCGGGAAATCAAATCAATTCACCAAATTTGTTTTTAGTACAAAAATTTCATTATACTAAAAATTAGTTTCTTTCTAATTTTAGTATTTTTAGCATAAAATCTAGAAGATGCATTAACAATAACACTCACTATTCTTTTAACTTCGATTTATTAACAATGATAAAATATTTGTTAACTAAGTGTAGTATACAATATATCAGTTGATAATAAAATAAAATAAAATTTCATAAAATAATAATTTGTTATTTTAGATGATCTGTATTAAATGATTTTCATATTATCTTCTTTATAGGAAATTTAATAAATATTAAGAAGGAGAAATGTGAAAAGTGAAAGAAAAAAAAAAAATATTTTATAAAAAAATTAATGTTTTTAAAATATTGGATTTTATACCCGGCTATTGCAGGATGCTTCATTGGCATAGGACATTTTGCTGCGTTTTATCTATCTAGAGTGTTATTGAATCAAGTCTGGTTTAGAAATACGTTGAAATACCTAATGATTGATGATGAGTATAAAATTTAATGAATCAATGTTGTGATATCGTTTATCAAAATTGCAATAAATTGGATGTTATACAAGGAAGTTATGAAGGGGGTTAGACGTTGTGGGAATGTACTTTCGATCTCTTATAGTACCCTAAATAACTTAGTGGTCTCGATGTGATAGATATGGGATGTGGTTTAGGATTGTTGGGAATATAAGCATTAAAATAAGGAGCCAAAAGTGTTTGTTTTTAGGACTATAATGAAGACACATTTGAGAAGGCAATATAATAACAATTGAAATTGAATAATCTGGAGGAGAACAAGAATTATTCATTTGTGAATGGAGATTGGGAAACACTCAATCTATAAAAAGTTGATATTATTTTAGCATCAGAAATCATATACAGAGAAGAATATTATTCTAAGGTGGAAAACTTCATAGCAAAACATTTGAGACCAGATGGAAAATGTATAATGATAAATAAAAGTTATTATTTTGGAGTAGGTGGTTCTGTAGCAGGATTTAAAAGTTATATAACTAAATTATAAGTTGTAGAAGAAGAAATAATAAATACAAAAAAAGGAGTGAAGAAAATGATTATGAAATTATAGTTAAAATGAATGATGTACATATTTTAGTGATCTTTTGTTTTTTTTTAGTTATTTTATTATATGATGATAGTATTATGTATAGAAATAATAGATGAATTGATTTAAAAAAAGTATATGTAAATACTTGAATGATGAAATTTTATTAAATTTTAAATATAAAAAATTGTGATTTATAATGCCACAACACGATTATATTGAACTTCATCAAAAAAGATTTGGAAAAAGACTTGATACAGAAGAAAGAGCAAGAAAAAAGGCAGCTAGACAACCTCATGAAATAGCAGAGAAAGCATAAAATCTTAAGGGTCTTAAAGTAAATAAATGAATATAATATTTTTACAGGCCAAAATGTTTAACAAGGAGAGATTTAAAGAAAAAGCATTGATGAAGAAATAAATGTTAGCTCATGAAGAGAAAGATATTGAAGTCAATGTTGAAGATGTTAAAGATGGAGCTGTTCCTACATATTTATTAGATAGAGAATAATAATAATAATCAAAGGTGTTAACAAATATGCTTAAATAAAAAAGGTAGAGTATATTATTTATATTATTAGATAAGAGAAAGCAGGTAAATGGGATGTACCTATTGCAAAAGTTAAATAAATGTCAGAAGGAGAAATGTTTTAAGTTATTGAGAGTGGAAAGAGAAAATAAAAGTCTTGGAAGAGAAGAATTAATAAGGTATGTTTTGTACCTGAAACATTTACTCGTAAACCTCCAAAATTTGAAAGGTATATTAGACCTACAGGACTTCGTTTTAAGAAAGCAAATGTTACTCATCCTGAACTAAAAACTACTTTTAGTTTACCTTTATTGGGAGTTAAGAAAAATCCATAATCAGCATTATATACTACACTTGGTGTAATAACTAAAGGAACAGTTGTTGAAGTCAATGTTAGTGAATTAGGTTTAGTAACTCAAACTGGTAAAGTAATTTGGAGTAAATATGCTCAAGTAACAAATAATCCTGAATTGGATGGATGTATTAATGCTACATTGCTTGTTTGATTTTTAGAAGTTCATATAATTATCTATTATAATAATAATAAAATAGTGTTATTACGTTTAATTAATATTTTAGAATACTTCTGTTCATTACTTATTACTTATGAGAATAGAATCTTGATAATAATTAGAAATATAAATAATTATTTTTGATGAGTAAAAATAAACCAAAGCCAGCAGATGCTAAACCATAGTTATCAAGTATACATCCCTCATTTATCATCAATAGAAGCAGAATTGGAGGCATAAAATAAGGCTAAGTAGGTTAACGATGTTGAGAATGAAGCATTTAAGGTATAATAATATTGAAACTTCTTTAGAAATAAATGAGAGAAGAAATAAGATTACTAAAAACAGATATAGATGCAGAAGAGAAATTACTTTCTTAATATTAATAAGAAAGAGAAAAGATAAATTACAACTGGATTATTGCTAAGAAGGAATTGGATGATAAGAAAAGTGACTTTATTAATAAGGAAAGAGAAATTTAGGATTTAAAGGAGAATCACTTTATGCAATTGAATCTTTATAAATAAAAGTATAAGTTTTATATTAAATTTTAGAATTAAGCATCTGTTATTTTAAAATCAAGATTAATAAAGTGATTTAAGGAAAGATGTAGAAGTTACTTTAAAATAATTAGAAGATGATCATAGAATGAAAGATAGAGAATTAAAGACTGATATTAGATCTTTAAAAGTTTAATAAAAAGAAGCTGATTTAGCTTAAAATGATTATATGTTTGCACTTAAAACTGAATATGATCGTTAAGCTACTTAATTAAGATAGAATTTTGAAAGATAAGCAAATGATTTAAAAGAGAAATATCATTTAAAAATGGAGAAATTAAGAAGAGAAATGGAAGAAGCTAGAAATAATCTTATTAAAATACTTTAAGAAAAAAAGGATCTAAGAATATAATAATTAACTAAAGAACATTCAAAAAAATATACAGAAATTAAAAATTATTATTCTGATATTACTGCTACTAATTTAGATATGATTAAAAGTTTAAAGAATGAGATTACAGATCATCAAAAAAAAGAAGAAAAAGATAAAAAATTATTATAATCAATTGAAAATGAATCTAAAAATTTAAATGAACCACTCAAAGCTATTAAAGAAGAAATTAAATTTTTAATTAAAGAAAAAGAAGAATAAGCATAAGTAGTATAATAAAAAGAATAATTGAAATTAAAAATAGATGAACTTGAAAAGAAATTTAGAAATTTAGAATATGAATATGAAGTTAAATTATAACATTTCTAATATATGGAAAGAGAAAAAAAATCACTTGAAGATAAATTCAATTTAACTATTTAATCAATTTAATAAAAAACTGGTCTATAAGTATAAATTATATAATATATATTAGAATCTAATCTTGGAAAAGAAAACTTCTGCTATCTAAGAAGAATTGGAAATCAAAGAATTACAATTGAATCAAGTCTTACAAGGAGCAAATATTGATTAAAATACTATAAGTAATTATAATATATATTAATTTAGATATTATTACAAGATAGTATTAAGAAATTGATGTCTAAAAATCAGCTCAAATTGCTGAATTATAATAATAATTAACATAAATAAGAAAGGCGCATTCTCATATGGTTAAGGCTTATGATGGTAAATTAGCTGAATTTGTAATTCCTGTGGAAGAACTTGGATTTGATCCATTAGTGCCAACTTTTACAGAATGAGTCGCATATATTCCATTCAGTTATTTTATATAATGTCGAAAAAAAAAAAATAATATAATTTGCTATAATACCATAAATTATGTTAAAAAATAAACCTATCCTATGTACTGAAGAGCCTATTGAAGAAGATCAAATATTTATATAGGCTTTTTAGGGACCTCCAAATGTTAGTGTAAGTATTAGTGAAGTAAGTGAAAGTCAGAATGATTCTAAAAAAGTATTTGAAATCCCTTAAGTTTTGATTGAACATCATAATTAAGAAAAATAAAGAGAAGAGGAATTATTAAAATAATCAGAGCCTAAAAAGGGTTTTGCAAAATTAGTTTAACTGTTTCATATGAGATAATTTATCCATTAAGTACTTGCAAAAAGAAGATTGATTTCTAAAATCACTAAATACCATTTGTAAGTGATTAATGATAAGGCATCTTCTTTAGATGATGTTGGTTTTAGAAAATTTGCAATAACAATAAAACCATTAATTTAAAGTTTATAAGAAAATACCTAAGCTCACTTAGGAAATCAACAGTAAAAATTCAAATAATAATAATTTTAGAAGAAGATCATTGCTTATGCAAAGAACGAAAATATTTATTGGAAGTTAAGTTTAAAGATTTGGTAAACTTATCCAATAAATTCCACTAATTAAACCAGATTCTAAAATTAAGGTAGTTTGGGATAGTATTTTATTTATTTGCAGATTTTATTTGCTTTTTACAATTCCAATAGATTTAGCTTGGCCATCTATTTAATTATTATTTTATACATTAGAAGTTCCAACTGTCATATGTATAACACTTTTGATATTGGATTTTTTTGTTTGTTTATTCTAATCATTTTATTAATAAGGATAATTGGTAACAGATAGGATGAGTATATTAAAACATTAAATAAGTAAAGCATATGGCTTTGAAATAATAGCAAATATTCTACTAATAATATTTTATAATATCTCAAATCAATATGATTATGGATTTAATGTATTTGATAATCCTTATTACATATTTCTATTTCTCTAATTTGTTCAATATAACAATATTGCATAATTAAGATAACAATTAGAAGATGCATTAAATTTATCAAGGGAAGCTGCATCTTTGGTAGAACTTTCAAAATTATTTGTTTTATTATTTTTTGTTATACATGTATTTGCATGTTTATGGTTTTGGGTAGGACTATATAGTGAAACATATTTGGGTAGTAGTTGGTTAGAAGCTAAATAAGTATTGGATAAATCTTTTGCTGATCAATATTTATATTCATTTTATTATTCAACTGTAACTATGTTTACAGTAGGATATGGTGATATTACTCCATAGACAAATCCTGAAATGATAGTTTCAGTTATATTTATGTCTGTTTGTAGTGTATAATTATCTTATAGTGTCAGCACTGTGAGTTCTATTATTGAATAGATAAGTGGATTTAAAGAAGAGAAAAAAAGAAAGTTTAATATAATCAATAATTATATGTAATAAAAAAATATTAGTTATGAATTATAATTTTAAATAAGAGAATATTTAAACTATTTTTGGACAATGAAAAGGAATGAGGAATCAAATGAGGAAAGAGAAATAATAGATGAATTATCTAGTAGATTAAAATAGAGATTGATTTTTGAAGCTAATTCAAGAATTTTATATAATAGTCCTTTTTTTAAAGAAAATTTTTCATTAAATTTTAAAAAAGATTTAGTAAGTAAAATAACATCTATTACTATTGCTCCAGAGAATGTTTTAGATTATACAAAAAAATCATAAGATGAAAATAGTTTATCCATATTTTTTATAGAATAAGGTTAAATAGAGGTTTTTATTGAAAATGAGTAATTAAGTGAACTATCTAGAGTATATAAGTTAAAAGAGGGAGAAAGTTTTGGATTTGTAAGTTTTATTACTGGTAATCCAAGTGTTGAAAAATATAAAACTATTGGTTTTACTAAATTATTAATAATAACAAGGAAAGACTTTTTAGATGTAATAAAGGATTACCCTGAAGATTATGAAATATTCTATAGTTTTTTTGAAGATTTGACATTTAATTCTGAAAGTGAATTACTTACTATGGAATGTTTTTCTTGTAAATCAAAAACTCATAAAGCAATATCATGTCCTCTTCTTCATTTTAAACCAGATAGAGAGAAAATTATAAAATCAGCTTAATTTAGTAATGATTAATAAAGAAGTAAATAGAAGAAAAGAAAAGAAAAATGTTATATAAAGGCTACATTAGGTTAGAGTATATTAAATGATGTAGCCAAACAAGTATAATCAGACAACTAATAATTAACATATATATATGAAGAATTTGATGAAGAAAAATCACCAACACCGAAAGTTTAATTTTTTAATAGTTCAGATGAAATATCAGATTTTAAAAACAATCATGAAGATGAAAAAATCTAACTTATTGAATTTAAAGAAGAAACTCTAAAACCTCCTATTCCATAGAAAAAATAATTATTAAGAAAAAAGTAGACATTATAGGATATAGGGGATATAATGAAATTTAATAATAGATAGAAGGAAACAAAAGAGAAGTTTTAATCTATTGTTAAGAAGGTAAATCTTATGAGTGATTTTGTTGATAAGAAAATTGAAGATTCTTAAGAAAAAATGCTTGCTTAATATAGAGATCATTTAAAAATGATTTAATATCGAAAAAATAAGATATAACACATAAAACATATTTATTAGAATAAAACAATTAATGAATTAGAATTTTTTGAACTTAAATTAAAAATGCTATTATAAACAGAGTTTGATATACTTTTAGATGCATAAAAATCTTATAAATATTTTAAACCAAAGGAAAATCTTTATTCAGTTTTAAGTAGAACAAAAATATCTATGTTATCAAGTACAAATGAAATGCAAATTTTAATGTAATAAAAAACAAAGTAATTAATTAAGTATTTATTTTATCCTTATTTATACATCTAAAAATATGTATGCAAATAGAGACATTCAGATTATATAGGTGAAACTAAAAAAAAATAGTTATTTAAAAGGAACAATAGAATATCTCTGGCATTCATAATGCAATAACATTCTTCAATTAAAAAACCTTGAACAACATTATTAAAATAAAAGTATATATATATTATTTTACTTTTTATAATCTTGACTAAAGTTTATCTTATTAATTATATTATAATTAATATGAATTCAATTAAAAATATTGATTTAGAAAATAAGCTCACTGAAAATTCTGAATCATCCCCTTTTAAGTCTCGAAGAACATTAATTAATAGATAAAACACTGAAACAAGTTTATACTTAAAAAATTTACATAAAAATCTTTAATATATAGAATCAATTAGTGCAAATTAAGAATAGAAGAGAGGATTTAAGATTAAAAAAAGACATGAATATGTAACAAAGTTTATAAAGAATCTTCGATCAATTCAAAATCATTATTCAAAATTGACAAATTATCATTTCTCTTTAATTGATGATCTAGCTACTTATGACAGCAGAAAAAATTAATCACTTGCATTAAGAACAATAGAGAATATAATATGTTTTTAAAAATTAATAGAAATTTTGAGTAATTTGATAAACAAGCTTCCCTTATTTCAACCTGATTCATAATACAAAAGTATTTGGGATATTGTGACAATAGTTGCTAGACTTTATTTTCTTTATTTAATACCTTTAGATATGGCTTGGATAGAGTAAGAGTTTATCTTTTAATTATTTCAACCAATATCCTATATTATGCTTATTCTTGTTGTAACTGATTAGATTCTAGAATTTAATACTGCCTATTATGAATGTGGTTAAATAGTAAATTCAAGGATAAAGATTTTTAAGAATAGTATATTAAGAAATTATAGTACAGAATGGATTTCAACATTTATATTGATAATCTACAGTTTTTTATAATTTTAATATAGAATTAGAATAGACCCTTCAGAAAATATAATACATTTGTCATTAATATTATTTATTATTCATGCAAGTAGAGTAAGATAGACAGTAAAACATTATGAATAAAGTTTGAATGTAAATAAGAAATTATCATCAATGATACAATTAGGGAAATTTATATTGTTTTTGTTTTATTTTTTACATATATTTGCTTGTTTTTGGTTTTGGGTACAATTTTAAATATTTTAGATAGGCTCTTATAGTTAATAAAATGAAGGACATAGTTGGGTGAGTATATCTCAGGTATAAGATCTTGATTGGAATTTGTAATATTTGGAAGCATTTTACTTTTCAACAGTGACAATGTTTACGGTTGGATATGGAGATGTGGCTCCAGTTTCAAATTTAGAGAAGGCTACTTCAGTATTGTTCATAATGATTACAAGTATTTAATTGCCTTATTCTATAAATACTGTTGGAAAATTTATTGAAGAGATAACAGCATATGGAGAGGAGACAATGAAGAAATTGAGTATAATAAATACATATATGGAGAAGAGGAAGATATCTTTTAATTTATAGATGGAGATAAGATAATATTTAAATTATTATTGGTAAACATAGAATTAATAGGATAATGAAGATTAGAAAAAGATAATAAATTAATTATCAGAATGTTTAAAAGAAAGATTGATGGCTGAGGCATATTAATCAATGTTAAATGATTGTCCTTTATTTAAGAATAGATTTAGTTAGAGTTTGAAACAATTATTAGTAAAAAAGGTGAAGAGTGTAATATATCCACCTGAATCATTTATAGATAATGATTAAATATATTTATGTTTTATTGATGAAGGTGAAGTGGAGATTCATTTGGAAATAAATAAATAATTTCCTGTTGGTAGATAAATGAAGGGACATAGTTTAGGTATAAGTAGTTTTATAACTGGTAAAAATGCTCCAGAGAGATTCAAATGTCTATCATTTACAAAAGTAATGTTATTAAGTAGAATTGATTTTTTGAAATGTTTATAAGAATGTCCATAAGATTTTGAGATATTTTGTTAAATGAGAGATTATTTGACATTTAATCCAGGGAAATAATTACATCCAATTAATTGTTTTTCATGTGATTCAAATTAACATAAATTGATTGAATGTCCTCTTATTCATT